TTGCCCATGGTAGAAGTGGTCAGAAAGTGCTCAAAGATTGCCCATTTTGCATACCCCAACCTACCATGACACATCCCCACCCTACCATGACACATGTCTGTGGAATGTGTACACGTGTACTCAGTGGCGGCTCCTGAAAAAATTCTCAGGAGGGGCAATTTTTCTGATGATTTAGGTGACCTACACACATTTTAAAAAAGATATGTCCAGCAACAACATGAAGACAGGGGCAGCATATAAGTCAATACCAGAAGCATTTATTGACTGATCTGGGGAGATGGATTCCAGTTTCTGTGACAGATTATAAATAATCTCTGATGCCTTTGTTATATTAGCTTTTGGTTGAATGTACTGTCGTAGAAAATATATAATGTTATAGCTTGGTCTGACTAAAATCTTGTGCATGACCCATTTTGTGTTGGGCCTTTGTATTCAATACAATGAACAAGAGTCCTATCTTGTCAGCCTTGTCAGCAGGTGGCTAAGGATAACACCCACGCCATAGGTCTCTCAGTTCTTCCAACTCACGAGTTCTTGCCCTGAGGACACACACACACACACCCACACACACACACACACACACACACACACACACACACATCATCACTGATAAACACACACACACACACACACACACATCATCACTGATAACAAACACACACACACACACACACACACACACTGATAACAAACACACACACACACACACACACAAATCCTCTTCTCTTAGGCTGAACATCTGAAGACAGAGAACCCGACTCAGAGCCAATGCAACAGTGACACTAGCCTGGAGGTGACCTCGCCCAACTCATCAGGACCAATCAGAAGATCAGAACTACTAGATTCAACCTACTTCATTTTATTGTATAAAATGTCAGCACACAATGTTTAGGGGCTCTTCTGATAAACTCCCTACGAGTTTGACGAACGGGTCCGTGCACGCGATTCCAGATATCTTTACCTCTGAATAAACTGCCTTATATTATACAATTATCCACCTTGTCCAAAAGTCTCTACTTGGTCTCCGTTCTCCAGTAAACTTGTTTTATCAACAATAGTAAGGTTCAATGACACAGAAAGCAGTTCAATGTCGGGGTACAGAGTCGCTCTCTTACCAGGATCGCGGTCCGCTCTGACCAGGGTGAAGCCGGCCGGCTGTAGTATTGTCTCCCAGCTGTATTGGGATTCCGCTGCCAGCAGCGTTTTCATTATTTAGTCCGTTCGTAGCGGGTATGTACACGATCAACAAGATCAGTCCAAAACCGAAGATCAGTCCAAAGCAGAATGTTTGCAGAATGTTTGTAAACTAAGTCTACAAATTAAAAACATAAAATAACGCCACACTGCAGATCGCAACATAGACGCTGCTAGCCGCCATTGTCTTAGTTACGTTCAACGTTACGTCACGTATGACGAAAGCGCGTAAGTGCATGCCCACAGACACCCATAGAGAATGTATTGAAAGCTTTGAAATGTGAAAAAAATATATTTTACATGACAGGCTATGAGAGACTTCTGGGCGATTTTCAACCTGACTGAAATCGCCCAAAAAACGGGCGGGGCCATTTGAAGCACGACTTTAGCCTGATTTGACATTTAGTGGCTGGCAGATCAGACGTGAACACTGATAACTGCTGTTGCCGTGATATAATTGATTAGAAAAAAAATCCCTTCCTTTTCCCGTTTGGCAGTGCGTCGCCCATATCGCCCTATTGAACAAGCCGTCCCTGCGTGTACTTGTGAGAGAGGGAGAGAAAGAGGGAGATGTGGGGTATCTTTTGACCAATGGGTAAAATATGTTAATTGTGTAGACAATCCTATAAGAAAACAAACCAATGGTCCAAACTTCATGTCTCTATCATAATGCGTTCAAAGGTTATTTGTGTTTTTACCCTTGTATATTGGCCAGAATTAGGGTGACTAAATCAATGGAGGCCAGAGAAAAAAGTTGGCAAAAATCTGGAAAATTGCATTGTATTAGCTAGGCTGGAGTCTGTGCATGAATGAAGGCTACTGGCTACCTGGCAGGCTCACTTTTCCCATTGAACTCGTCATCTTTCTTCTCCAATCAGCAGGACATAAAACAATATAGAGGTAGGATGGATATCGATTTTGAGTCATGACATTAAGTATTTTCAAAATATTTTATTATAGGGGGGGAATTCAAAATATATGTACATATTGGTCCAGGATATATTTATGAAATATGTAACTTGAGCACATCATAGAATATGTATGTAAATATATTTTTAAAATATATGTGAATGAAAAAAAAGTCATGCTGAATTGTAATGTTGAGTCTATTGACCTCTGGTACCTTGGCATTAGGTTTCCAAAGTGGGGTTTGCGGAAGGGTACCAAAAAATTTCTGCAGCATTGAATGTCCCCAAGAACACAGTGAGTAGCAATGTTTCCTTGATAACATGAGCAAGGAGATGGTGATTCGATAGTATTTCGGTCTCTATGTTGCTGGTAATTTGCTAATGCAGCGCAATCTGTATCGATAGTAGCTATCACTGTGTGTCGCGAAGCTGCAAGGCAATATCAGTGATACATTTTACGGTGTCATCTCAGTCACGTTACTTAGTGATTTGCGCCGGCAGTCACCACACTTTGTTACATGACTTCTGATCATTATCTTGGAACCCTATTCCCTTACACAGTTAAACTAGAAACGCATTTAAGTAACGTGAAGACGGGTCGGAATTAGTGTGTTGTATAGCTAATCTGCAAGAGTAGGTTTAGGCTGATTTATTAGCCATGTTCTGTCATGCATTTTACGTAGGTAGTCTCTGTCGGTCAATATTTGCATTCTAGTAGTATTATTCTAGTGACAGCATATTCTTATTCTATCATATGCTATTGTGTTGTATGCTATTGTAGTGATCACTAAATTCTAGTCATGTATTAGCTCATGTTATTCATTAATCTTCTGCTTGCATTATCTTCATGTCTTACATACTTAAAAAAAAATAGTTACTTTAAAAAATGTATTACATTCAGTCATCCAGCAGACACTCCCACCCAGTCGAATTGGGGAACCGAACCAGCGACCTCCCGGCCACCGGCCCAAGCTCCCAACCGCCAGGCCACCAACCATCCAAGATCCACCCCCACAGTTCCCCTCAAGTGCTGCCCCTCAACAATCCAAGACCCACTGACAGTTCCCACTGTAAACCTTGTACAGGCTTCCTTTTCAGTTTGTTACTTACTTTAGTATTGTGGAATAACTACAATGTTGTTGATCCATCCTCAGTTTTCTCCTATCACAGCCATTAAACTCTAACTGTTTTAAAGTCACCATTGTCCTCATGGCTCTCCGGTAACTGAGTTAGGTAGGACGCCTGTATCTTTGTAGTGACTGGTTGTATTGATACACCATCCAAAGTGTAATTAATAACTTCACCATGCTCAAAGGGAAATTCAATGTCTGCTTTTTTTTAAACCCATCTACCACTAGGTGCCCTTCTTTGCAAGGCATTAGAAAACCTCCCCAGGTCTTTGTGGTTGAATCTGTGTTAAACTACAATCTGTAGCCATGAAGGGCTTTGAAAGGCTGGTCATGGCTCACATCAACACCATTGTCCCAGACACCTTGGACACACTCCAATTTTCATAACGCCCCAACAGATCCACAGATGATGCAATCTCTATTGCAATCCACACTGCCCTTGCCCACCTGGACAAGAGGAACACCTATGTGAGAATGCTGTTCATTGACTACAGCTCAGTGTTCAACACCATAGTGCCCTCCAAGCTCATCACTAAGCTAAGGACACTGGGACTGAACACCTCCCTCTGCAACTGGATCCTGGACTTCCTGACGGGCTGCCCCCAGGTGGTGAGGGTAGGCAACAATACATCCGCCACGCTGACCCTCAACACCGGGGCCCCTCAGGGGTGCATGCTTAGTCCCCTCCTGTTCAACAACTGTGTAGCCGTGAACGACTCCAACACCATCAAGTTTTCAGACGACGCGATGGTGGTAAGCATGATCACAGATGACAATGAGACAATGTGTTTGTACGGTATATCATAAGTGACAGTCAAAGCTGTATTGACAAGGTCTGTAAGGTAGGCTATTGTCTTTCCCTTCCTTCTGGAACCATTATTTCAGATAATCTGATGTTGGCTGGGCTCCCCGCTTGTGCCCTCAAACCCTTGCAACTTATCCAGAATGCTGCAGCCCACATGGTTTTTAACCTTCCCAAGTTCTCCCATTTCACCCCGCCCCTCCGCACACTCCACTAGCTTCCAGTCGAAGCTCACATCCACTACAAGACCATGGTGCATGCCTACAGAGCAGCAAGAGGAACTGCCCCTCCCTACCTTCAGGCTATGCTCAAACCCTATACCCGAACCTCTAGATAAGATCTTAAGTTAATTGATTGTCAAGTACTGTTGGGATGTTTTCAGTGCTTGCAAAACATACAGTAATAATAATAATAATATGCCATTTAGCAGACGCTTTTATCCAAAGCGACTTACAGTCATGCGTGCATACATTTTTGTGTATGGGTGGTCCCGGGGATCGAACCCACTACCTTGGCGTTACAAGCGCCGTGCTCTACCAGCTGAGCTACAGAGGACCACGTACAGTATGTTAGATTTTCAAGTAGGCCTAAAGACGTCAGTATTTGATCTTTTTTTAAGAGCACTCTTCAGTACTTTTCAGATATTTTATTGAAGAGATAGGACAGAGTAAAATAACGATAGTGAGGTGAAAGTTTGACAACGTAGCGATGGGTCTGGAATTTGAACCCACATGGTCATGAGCACATATAGTACATTTATGTGTTGAAGGTGGTGCTGTTGACCACTAGACCACCTCAGACGTGTTTGAAGTGGATATGTTCAGAAACAGACATGTAGATTACCCATGTGTACAAGACAGACTCTGAAGGAGGAAGTAGGGGTAGAGAACTAGGGGTGATCAAAACCGTTTCCTAACTACAATATCTTATCTTGACAGGGATTGCAAGCCAGCGAACTGCTACACAATGGAGGATTCTGAAACCATTTATGGTTTTGATTATGAATATGGGCATTATAGCAATTACACCTATGACAATGTTACTCCTCATGAGGAGAAGGTAGCTTTCAAAACCCACAAGTCATGCTTCACGGAGGTTTCATGCGTCTCCCTCATTGTGGTCAATGTGGTTACAGTGGGGAAAAAAAGTATTTAGTCAGCCACCAATTGTGCAAGTTCTCCCACTTAAAAAGATGAGAGAGGCCTGCAATTATCATCATAGGTACACGTCAACTATGACAGACAAAATGAGATTTTTTTTCTCCAGAAAATCACATTGTAGGATTTTTAATGAATTTATTTGCACATTATGGTGGAAAATAAGTATTTGGTCAATAACAAAAGTTTCTCAATACTTTGTTATATACCCTTTGTTGGCAATGACACAGGTCGAACGTTTTCTGTAAGTCTTCACAAGGTTTTCACACACTGTTGCTGGTATTTTGGCCCATTCCTCCATGCAGATCTCCTTTAGAGCAGTGATGTTTTGGGGCTGTCGCTGGGCAACACAGACTTTCAACTCCCTCCAAAGATTTTCTAAGGGGTTGAGATCTGGAGACTGGCTAGGCCACTCCAGGACCTTGAAATGCTTCTTACGAAGCCACTCCTTCGTTGCCCGGGCAGTGTGTTTGGGATCATTGTCATGCTGAAAGACCCAGCCACGTTTCATCTTCAATGTCCAAACTGATGGAAGGAGGTTTTCACTCAAAATCTCACGATACATGGCCCCATTCATTCTTTCCTTTACACGGATCAGTCGTCCTGGTCCCTTTGCAGAAAAACAGCCCCAAAGCATGATGTTTCCACCCCCATGCTTCACAGTAGGTATGGTGTTCTTTGGATGTAACTCAGCATTCTTTGTCCTCCAAACACGACGAGTTGAGTTTTTACCAAAATGTTATATTTTGGTTTCATCTGACCATATGACATTCTCTTCAAGATCATCCAAATGCACTCTAGCAAACTTCAGACGGGCCTGGACATGTACTGGCTTAAGCAGGGGGACACGTCTTGCACTGCAGGATTTGAGTCCTTGGCGGCGTAGTGTGTTACTGATGATAGGCTTTGTTACTTTGGTCCCAGCTCTCTGCAGGTCATTCACTAGGTCCCCCCGTGTGGTTCTGGGATTTTTGCTCACCGTTCTTGTGATCATTTTGACCCCACGGGGTGAGATCTTGCGTGGAGCCCCAGATCGAGGGAGATTATCAGTGGTCTTGTATGTCTTCCATTTCCTAATAATTGCTCCCACAGTTGATTTCTTCAAACCAAGCTGCTTACCTATTGCAGATTCAGTCTTCCCAGCCTGGTGCAGGTCTACAATTTTGTTTCTGGTGTCCTTTGACAGCTCTTTGGTCTTGGCCATAGTGGAGTTTGGAGTGTGACTGTTTGAGGTTGTGGACAGGTGTCTTTTATACTGATAACAAGTTCAAACAGGTGCCATTAATACAGGTAATGAGTGAAGGACAGAGGAGCCTCTTAAAGAAGAAGTTACAGGTCTGTGAGAGCCAGAAATCTTGCTTGTTTGTAGGTGACCAAATAATTATTTTCCTCCATAATTTGCAAATAAATTCATAAAATATCCTACAATGTGATTTTCTAGATTTTTTTTCCTCAATTTGTCTGTCATAGTTGACGTGTATCTATGATGAAAATTACAGGCCTCTCTCATCTTTTTAAGGGGGAGAACTTGCACAATTGGTGGCTGACTAAATACTTTTTTTCCCCACTGTATATTCTTGCTAGGGGTTTGTGGGAATGGGGTGGTCATCTGGATCGCTGGTCTCAAGATGAAAAAGATGGTCAACACCACCTGGTACCTCAGCCTGGCAGTCTCCGACGTCATATTCTTTGCCTGTCTACACTTCAACATTTACACGGTAACAAAGGAGTGGATCTTTGGGCTCTTCATGTGCAAGTTCACCTCTTTTGATATTCCTGAACATGTTCAGCAGCATCATCCTCCTGGTCGTCGTCAGTGTTGACCGCTGTGTGTCAATTATGTTTCCAGTGTGGGCTTAGGACCACTGCACCATTTTACATTTACATTACTTTTTAGTCATTTAGCAGACGCTCTTATCCAGAGCGACTTACAGTTAGTGAATACATATATATATATTTTTTTTATACTGGCCCCCTGTGGGAATCAAACCCACAACCCTGGCCGTTTCAAACGCCATGCTCTATCAACGAGCTACATCCCTGCCGGCCATTCCCTCCCCTAACCCTGACGACCGCTGGGCCAATTGTGCGCCGCCCATGATTCCTCCCGGTCGCGGCCGTCTGGCGACAGAGCCTGTTCGAACTAGACAGGAGTCTCTGTGACACAGTTCACTTGTCATGCAGTGCCTTCGAACCACTGCGCCACTCAGAGTCACAATTTCACGGCCCTTTGTATTGGTGGTCCTGGCCTGGTTTGCCCTATTCGCCCTCGCATCCCCTCCTTGGTGTTCATCGACGCCAAGACTCATGTCGGGAAGAGCAATGTGTTTCAATAACTAAACTCCAAAAAATACAAAAAAGCCGACAACATAGCCACAAGACGATCGCAGGGGGTTCTCAGGGGTTTATGCTCCCATTCCTCATCATGTATGTTTTCATCCATCTTAGACAGCTCCACCTAGTGTCTAAGATGGAGAATCGCCATGGGGAGATGGGGGTACACTGAGCCACAGCTAACATTTCCCAACCACTGTATGTTCACCTCTAGACAGCTCCATAGTGTCTAAATGAGAATCCATGGGAGAGCTGCACCACACCCTACCTCTCCAGTCCACCCAGAGAGCAGCCGCAGGACTCCACACATATCTAAAAGTCTGAGGATGGTAAGCGCTCAGTGGCGGCAGAGACTAAGAACACAATTTTTGTTCAGCAATGCTTTGCCTTGTGAAAAGTCATGTAAGGTGTATTTTCACTTGAGGGTCTAAGAGACTAATGATAATTGGTCATGCATTGTGTACAATCACAAGTCGTGGTTCTTTGGATCTCATGTTAACATTCTGTCCAACCAGTTGATTTGTTCTTCTCTCATGAGCAAAACTGATTATTGTGATGAGTACTGAGGGATACGAAGAGGGCAGGACGCAGACGCAGGAAATCAACAATGTAAGGTTTACTTAATACTGAGCAAGAGAAAAACAAAGAGCGAGTACACGACAAGACACTGACAATCACACACAACACAACACTGAACAGTCCAGGGCTATATAGGGGTGGTGATGAGCTGAGGTGCAGGTGCGCTGGAAGTGATTAGGGCATTGGGTTTCCATTCCGGTGTTGCTGATGTGGTGCGCTCAGACCGGTGGCTCAGTAGACCGGCGAATCAGAGTGCCGGAGGGGAGCAACAGGAGGAGACGTGACAAGTATGGTCTTGTGAAGATATTGGTCACACTTTATTTGGATAATCCAGATAACCTTAATGTTTCTTATAAAAAGAAGTAATGCAGTCAGTCTCTCCTCAACTCTTAGCCAAGAGAGACTGGCATACATAGTATTCATATTAGCCCTCTGGTTACAATGATGAGCATGACGTGCCGCTCTGTTCTGGGCCAGCTGCAGCTTAACTAGGTCTTTCCTTGCAGCAGTCGACCATACGACTGGACAATAATCAAGATGAGACAAAACTAGAGCCTGCAGGACCTGAAACATACAGATGTAGGATCTTAATTTGTGCCAGTTTTCTGCAGCAGCAACAGGAAATGTGAATTATAATTTGGGTTATACATTTTTGTAGGGGTTGATAAATGTAAATGTGGAAATTTAAAACCCCAGACTTTTTAAACCTCAAATACACTACGTTTTACATTTCCTGCATTTTGTCTGAATTGTATCTTTAATTTTGCCTTAGATATTGCAGACATCTATACACAACATATCGTCCAGCCCTATCCCAAAAACATAATTTGACTTCAGGGTCCAAAAGGGTAATGAATTGTGTAAAAATACAAGCATTTTTCTGTTCAATCTACCTGTTTGATTTGTTTTTCTATAAATACAATGAGTATACAATCTTGTATTGTAGATATTGTAACATGTTTCTGGTTATTTTTGTAAATAGTCATGGGAAACTGAAAAAGAAGCTGCTTGCTTTTAATGAACTGAGAAGCAGCACCAGGCTGTTTGTGTTGTGTGTGGTGAGTGCATTTTTCTGATTAAATCCAATGTTTTGACGAATAGATAATTAACTGGTATACAGTGCATTCGGAAAGTATTCAGACCCTTTGACTTTTTCTACATTTTGTTACATTACAGCCTTATTCTAAAATTGATTAAATTATTATTTTTTGCTAATTTATTAAAAATAAAAAACATACCTTATTTACATAAGTATTCAGACCCTTTGCTACGAGACTCGAAATTTAGTTCAGTTGCATCCTGTTTCCATGGATCATCCTTGAGATGTTTCTACAACTTGATTGGAGTCCACCTGTGGTACATTCAATTGATTGGACATGATTTGGAAAGGCACACACCTGTCTATATGAGGTCCCACAGTTGACAGTGCATGTCAGAGCAAAAACCAAGCCATGAGGTTGAAGGAATTGTAAGTAGAGCGCTGAGACAGGATTGAGTCGAGGCACAAATCTGGGGAAGAGTATCAAAAAATGTCTGCAGCATTGAAGGTCCCCAAGAACACATTGGCCTCTATCATTGTTAAATGGAAGACTCTTCCTAGAGCTGGCCGCCCGGCCAAACTGAGCAATCGGGGGAGGAAGGCCTTGGTCAGGGAGATGGCAAGAACCCGATGGTCACTGATAGAGCTCCAGAGTTTCCAGAAGGAAAACCATCTCTGCAGCACTCCACCAATCAGGCCTTTATGGTAGAGTGGCCAGACCGAAGCCATTTCTCGGAAAAAGGAACATGACAGCCTATTTGGAGTTTGCCAAAATGCACCTAAAGACTCTCAGACCATGAGAAACAAGATTCTCTGGTCTGATGAAACCAAGATTGAACTCTCTTTGGCCTGAATGTCAAGCGCCACGTCTGGAGGAGACCTGGCACCATCATGCTGTGGGGATGTTTTTCAGCGGCAGGGACTGGGAGACTAGTCAGGATGGGAAAGATAAACGGAGCGCTCAGGACCTCAGACAGACTTCACCTTACAACAGGACAATGACCCTAAGCACACAGCCAAGACAACGCAGGAGTGGCTTTGGGACAAGTCTCTGAATGTACTTGAGTGGCCCAGCCAGAGCCTGGACTTGAACCCGATCAAACATCTCTGGAGAGACCTGAAAATAGCTGTGCAGCAGCGCTTCCCATCCAACCTGACAGAGCTTGAGAGGATCTGCAGGGAAGAATAGGAGAAACTCCCCAAATACAGTTGTGCCAAGCTTGTAGCGTCATACCCAAGAAGATTCGAGGCTGTAATCGCTGACAAAGGTGCTTCAACAAAGTACTGAGTAAAAGGTCTGAATATATATATATATTTTTTTTGGTGCAAACATTTGTAAACTTGTTTTTGCTTTGTCATTATGGGGTATTGTGTGTAGATTGATGGTGGAGGGGGGGAGCATTTTAATCCATTTTAGAATAAGACTAACGTAACAATGTGGTAAAAGTCAAGGGGTCTGAATACTTTCCGAATGCACTGTACACTAAATAGGCTTTATTTTGTTCAATAGTCATTCCATACTGTCTTTTTCATGCAAATTGCTGTATATCAAATTAAAAGTCATACCTGCAGTTGTGACCAACACAAACTGTTGTGTCAAATAATCATTCTACTTATGCCATGAATCTAGGGTGAACAGTTTATTGGAAAAGTGCGTGTTAAACATGAGTTTATCAAGAGTTACAAAACAACGAACCTGCAGTCTCTGATGTCCAAAGTCTCCAATTTAATGTTATGTACTGTGTGCTGTGCCTGAACAGTACCATATTAAGGTGTAGTCTACTGTCGATTTAGTATAATTCAAAGTTAAGGTAAATTATATTTTCTCTTAAGTCAAATTTCCCAATTGCATGTACATTTTAGTTCCTGAATTTAAAAAAATTTAAAAGGAAATTACTCAATAATTGTTCACAGTTTCGTCATGTAACCACAACCACAGATGGCACAACAAGTGCTTTACCAAATACCCATCCCAAAACAGCCACCTAACTGTAGCTGTCAGTCGATTTGTCAGTGGCTTTGTGCTCCCGCTCCTCATCATCTTCTGCTACTCTGTCATCATCCTGGGACTGAGGACCAACAGGATGACCAGGTCCTCCAAGGCCTTCAGAGTCATGACTGCACTGATAGCCACGTTCTTCATCAGCTGGCTGCCCTGCCATGTCTTCATCAATCTGGAGCCAGATATTAAAATTATCTAACCATTATTCATGAAGGGCTAAAGATATCTGCGACTCTTGCTAGTGCAAACAGTTGCTTGAACCCATTTCTGTATGCATTAGTGAGCAAAGATTTCAAGCAGAAATGCTGGAGCTCTTTAGTCTCTAAAATATAAAATGCCTACAAATGTCAGATTGCCTTTCAACAAATACTGTAATTACAGGGCAAGTGTATGCTCCTTAAGGACATGTCCATATTGCCAATCCAATGACAAGGATCGTGACAAGAATTAATAGAATGTTCGTTCTATGTTATCTACAGTACCAGTCAAAAGTTTGGAGTCACCTACTCATTCAAGGGTTTTTCTTAATTTTTTTTTACAATTTTTTACATTGTAGAATAATAGTGAAGACATCAACACTATGAAATAATACATATGGAATCATGTAGTCACCAAAAAAGTGTTAAACAAATCAGAATATATTTTATATTTGAGATTCTTCAAATACCCACCCTTTGCCTTGATGACAGCTTTGCATTCTCTCAACCAGCTTCACCTGGAATGCTTTCCCAACAGTCTTGAAGGAGTTCCCACATATGCTGAGCACTTGTTGCCTGCTTTTCCTTCACTCTGCCGTCCGACTCATCCCAAACCATCTCAATTGGGTTGAGGTCGGGGGATTGTGGAGGCCAGGTCATCTGATGCAGCACTCCATCACTCTCCTTCTTGGTCAAATAGCCCTTACACAGCCTGGAAGTGTGTTGGGTCATTGTCCTGTTGAAAAACAAATGATAGTCCCACTAAGCCCAAACCAGATGGGATGGCGTATCGCTGCAGAATGGTGTGGTAGCCATGCTGGTTAAGTGTGCCATGAATTTGTGACCAGCAAAGCACCCTCACACCATAACACCTCCTCCTCCATGCTTTACAGTGGGAACTATACATGCGGAGATCATCCGTTCACCCACACCTCAACTCACAAAGACACAGCGGTTTGAACCCAAAATCTCCAATTTGGACTTGTCGTGGTAATTATTTGAATCAAAGGAGAGACTTTTGGATTTCCTCAAGACAATATAACTTTATTATCGATTAATTACTGCAGTAATGTAGTTAGTCGGTAACCGCCTTGGAGGTGATCACTGAGAACTCAGAAGAGCAGAACTGAGGTTAGAGCTCTTATAGCAAAGACACATCCTTCTGAATACATGACAAACAGCAGATGTGTGGAATGGGTCAAAAGGTACATTGTGCTCTCATGCAACAGACATCAAGATTTACATGGAGCCACATATCTGTCTCTAGTTCATTTAATGATTGTTTATACAGAAATACTAATATAACCTAGAACACTAGGTCAATCCCTCAAATGATTAAGTCCAGTGTTCATCTTCCATATAGGATAAATAAACTGGAAATTGGATCTCCCTTGCACCGACACACAGGCACACAGACACAAATCATGGAATGGAATGGAAAACCCTATTATGTTCCCTCTCAGAAGAACAGACAGTGTGAATGTACTAATATATCTAATACATTCTAATATAAAAGTAATGTGATTAACAATAATGTTGTAATTCTACGACAGACTCCAGACCAAAGGACACATTTCCACCCGTCTAATGTCCATTGCTTGTGTTTCTTGGCCCAAGCAGGTCTCTTCTTCTTATTGGTGTCCTTTAGCAGTGGTTTCGTTGCAGCAATTTGACCATGAAGGCCTGATTCACACAGTCCCCTCTGAACAGTTGATGTTGATGTGTCTGTTACTTGAACTCTGTGAAAAATTCATTTGGGCTGCAATTTCTGAGGCTGGTAACTCTAATGAACTTATCCTCTGCAGCAGACGTAACTCCGGGTCTTCCATTCCTGTGGCGGTCCTCATGAGAGCCAGTTTCATCGTAGCACTTGATGGTTTTTGCGACTGCACTTGAAAAACTTTAAAAGTTCTTGAAATGTTCAGTATTGACTGACCTTCATGTCTTAAAGTAATGATGGACTGTCGTTTCTCTTTGCTTATTTGAGCTGTTGTTGCCATAATATGGACTTGGTATTTTACCAAATAGATCAAACACAAACTTAGACGGATTATTCAGATTTAGCTGGCTTTAGATACTTACAATAATCTATCCACTCAGAAATCGTCTGTTTGGAATTATGAATTTAAGATTTATTTTCACAACACAACTGATTGGCTCAAATGCATTAAGGAAATCAATTCCACAAATTGACTTTTAAGGAGGCACACCTGTTAATTGAAATGCATTCCAGGTGACTACCTCATGAAGCTGGTTGAGAGAATGCCAAGAGTGTGCAAAGCTGTTTGTTTAACACTTTTTTAGGTTACTACATGATTCCATATGTGTTAGGTCATAGTTTTGATAAAAATAAAAGAAAAACCGTTGAATGAGTAGGTGTGTCCAAACTTTTGACTGGTAGTGTTTATCAGCTGCAATGCAAACCACCATATGCAAACCTTTTCACCACCAAAAATGAGCAACAATGTGTTGAATAATGTATGTATGTTGACAGGAAGTCCATAGTATTTGTATTTCCTGCCACACATCACCCATCTTATGGACAGGTTTTTGTGTAATCAGATTTGTACCATGAAATGTAATTCAGCCCACCGTGCCAACATTCATCTGTCAGATCATTTGCTGTGACACTGAAAGGTCAAGTGTAATTAAATATCCTATAGAGGAGCTGAGAATCCAGCCTGGTCTCATAGACTAGACGTAACATAGTAAATGTAAATCCGGAACGTTGAAATTAGTATGATACATTACGTTTGGTATGGTTACATAGGACAGACGGTTACTTAAGGCAAACGTCTAGCAAACCAAAGGTTGCGAGTTTGAATCTCATCACGGACAACTTCAGCATTTTAGCAAATTAGCAACTTTTCAACCAATAACTACTTTTTAGCTACTTTGCAACTACTTAGCATGTTAGCTAACCCTTCTCCTAACCCTAACCTTAACCCTTTAACCTAACTCCTAAACCTAACCTTAACCCTTAGCCTAGCTAACGTTAGCCAGCTAGCCACCTAGCTACAATTCGTAACATATCACATGTTTTGCGAATTTGTAACATGTTGTATGTTTTGAAAATTCATGACATACACTACTGTTCAAAGTTTGGGGTCACTTAGAAATGTCCTTGTTTTTCGAAAGAAAAGCAATTTCTTTGTCCATTAAAATAACATCAAATTGATCAGAAATACAGTGTACACATTGTTAATGTTGTAAATGGCTATTGTAGCTGGAAACAGCTGATTTTTTTTATGGGATATCTACATAGGCGTACAGAGGCCCATTATCAGCAACCATCAGTCCTGTGTTCCAATGGCACGTTGTGTTTGCTAATCCAAGTTTATCATTTTAAAAGGCTAATTGATCAGCTTCATTAAATAGTATCCGCAAAACACCAGTCTCAACGTCAACAGTGAAGAGGCGACTCCGGGATGCTGACCTTCTAGGCAGAGTTGCAAAGAAAAAGCCATATCTCAGACTTCCCATCTTAATCTTTTATTTTTATTGGGCCGTACGCATTACACTCTGTAGTGCCTTGCGGTCGGAGGCCGAGCAGTTGCCATACCAGGCGGTGATGCAACCAGTCAGGATGCTCTCGCTGGTGCAGCTGTAGAACTTTTTGAGGATCTGAGGACCCATGCCAAATCTTTTCAGTCTCCTGAGGGGGAATAGGCTTTGTCGTGCCCTCTTCATGACTTTCTTGGTGTGTTTGGACCATGATAGTTTGTTGGTGATGTGGACACCAAGGAACTTGAAGCTCTCAACCTGTTCCACTACAGCCCTGTCGATGAGAATGTGGGCGTGCTCAGTCCTCTTTTTTTTCCCTTTGTCCACAATCATCTCCTTTGTCTTAAGCACATTGAGGGAGAGGTTGTTATCCTGGCACCACACGGCCAGGTCTCTGATCTCCTCCCTATAGGCTGTCTCATCATTGTCGGTGATCAAGCCTATCACTGTTGTGTCGTTGGCAAACTTAATGATGGTGTTGGAGTCGTGCCTGGCCATGCAGTCATGGGTGAACAGGGAGTACAGGAGGGGACTGAGCACGCACCCCTGAGGGGCCCCCGTGTTGAGGATCAGCATGGCAGATGTGTTGTTACCTACCCTTACCACCTGGGGGCGGCCCGTCAGGAAGTCCAGGATCCAGTTTCAGAGGGAGGTGTTTAGTCCCAGGGTCCTTAGCTTAGTGATGAGCTTTGAGGGCACTATGGTGTTGAATGCTGAGCTGTAGTCAATGAATAGCATTCTCACATAGGTGTTCCTCTTGTCCAGGTGGGAAAGGGCAGTGTGGAGTGCAATATAGATTGCATCATCTGTGGATCTGTTGGGGCAGTATGCAAATTGGAGTGGGTTTAGGGTTTCTGGGATAATGGTGTTGATGTGAGCCATGACCAGCCTTTCAAAGCACTTCATGGCTGCAGACGTGAGTGCTACGGGTCGGTAGTCATTTAAGCAGGTTATCTTTGTGTTCTTGGGCACAGGGACTATGGTGGTCTGCTTGAAACATGTTGGTATTACAGACTCAGTCAGGGACATGTTGAAAATGTCAGTGAAGACACTTGCCAGTTGGTAAGCGCATGCTGGGAGTACACGTCCTGGTAATCCGTCTGGCCCTGCGGCCATATGAATGTTGACCTGTTTAAAGGTCTTACTCACATCGGTTACAAATGAGATGAGTAAAGCAAAAATATGTAAACATTATTAAAGTGACTAGTGTTCCATTATTAAAGTGGCCAGTGATTCCAAGTCTATATAGGGCAGCAGCCTCTACGGTGCAGGGTTATGTAACCGGGTGGAAGCTGCCTAGTGATGGCTAGTTAACAGTCTGGTGGCTTTGAGATAGAAGCTGTTTTCTCCGTCTCCGTCCCAGCTTTAATGCACCTGTACTGACCTTGCCTTCTGGATGATAGCGGGGTGAACATGCAGTGGCTCGGGTGGTTGTACTTGATTATCTTTTTGGCCTTCCTGTGACATTGGGTGCTCTAGGTGTCCTGGAGGGCAGGTAGTTTGCCCCCTGTGATGCGTTGGGCAGACCGCACTACCATCTGGAGAGCCCTGCGGTTGCGGGCGGTGCAGTTGCTGTACCAGCCGATGATACAGCCCGACAGGATGCTCTCAATTGTGCATCTGTAAAAGTTTGAGGGTTTTAGGTGCCAAGCCAAATTTCTTCAGCCTCCTGAGGTTGAAGAGGAGCTGTTGCGCCTTCTTCACCACACTGTCTGTGTGGGTGGACCATTTCAGATCGTCAGTGATGTGTACACCGAGGAACTTGAAGCTTTCCACCTTCTCCACTGTGGTCCCATCGATGTGGATAGGGGCGTGCTCCCTCTGCTGTTTCCTGAAGTCCACGATCAGCTACTTTGTTTTGTTGACGTTGAGTGAGAGGTTATTTTCCTGGCACCACACTCCAAGGGCCCTCACCTCCTCCCTGTAAGCTGTCTCGTCATTGTTGGTAATCAGGCCTACTACTGTTGTGTCGTCTGCCAACTTGATGATTGAGTTGGAGGCGTGCGTGGCCACTTAGTCAAGGGTTAACAGGGAGTACAGGAGGGGGCTGAGCACGCACCCTTGTGGGGCCTCTGTGTTGAGGATCAACGAAATGGAGGTGTTGTTTCCTACCTTCACCACCTGGGGGCGGCCCGTCAGGAAGTCCAGGACCCAGTTGCACAGGGCGGGGTTCAGACCCAGGGCCCCGAGCTTAATGATGAGCTTGGAGGGTACTATTGTGTTGAATGCTGCGCTATAGTCCTGTGTTAATACTCAGGTTGAACAATACATGGAAAACTTGTGTAGCTCAGTTGGTAGAGCATGGCGTTTGCAACGCCAGGGTTGTGGGTTTGATTCCCACGGGGGGCCAGTAGGATTTTATTTTTTACAAAAAAAACAAAAAATATATGCACTCACTAACTGTAAGTTGCTCTGGATAAGAGCGTCTGCTAAATGACTAAAAATGTAAAAATGTAAAACGCATTTCACTCAACCGCTGTGTGACTGAATATGAACTCATTGGAAGTTGGAATTGTTAATTTATTTGTAAAAACTCAAGCATTGTTCTGTTCAATCTACCTGTTTAATTTGTGTCTCTGATGAATAAGATGAGTAGGCTATGATCTTGTATTGGACCATGTTTGTGGTTATTTATGTAAATATTCAGGGTAAACCACAAAGAGAAGCTGCTTCTTAAAAGGAAATGACAAGCAGAAAGAGTATTGCCACATGCTAAACTCCATTTATGATTCTGCAGCAGGCTGTTTCTGTTGTGTGGTGAGTGCCTTTTTCTGATTAAATCCAATGTTTTGAGAGATGGAATGTCAATTGATATTCACTTATTAGGCTTTATGTTAACTTCGTTACAGTATTGTTTTTGTTTCATGCATTTCTATTTATTTATCTAATTAAAAGTCATAAATACCTGTAGTTGTGACAGAAACAAACTGTGTCCAACCATCTTTGTGTATTTATACCATGAATCCAGGGTGAACAGTTTATTTGAAAAGTGAATGTAATTACATGAGTTTATCAAGAGTTGCAAAACAAGATTCAGAATACATGAACCTGCAGCCTCTGTAATATCCAAAGGGCCGAAGTCAATGTTATGTGTTAAATGCTGTGCCTGACCAGGTTTAGGTGGAGGCTGCAATTCAAAGTTGAGCTTTATTTTCTCTTCATTCTAATTTTGAAATTGCATGTCAATTTCAGTTACTGAATTTAAATCAATTTGAAAAGGAAATAACTCCTACAATAGGTAATCATATAAAAGCTTAAAACAAAGTGCAGATAACTTGTGCCTTCAAGTAAATCATGCATTTGTGTCAATGAGAGATTTTCATGACATAATCTGCCATTTAATGGCAATGTGTTTTAGTTTTTTTGCTGTTTCAACTTTTTATTTGTTTTACCCCATGGACATAAAATGGTATGAATATAGTACAATGTAACTAATATTTTATCACCTAGTTAACTTAACAACATGTTCTGAGTTGACACAGCTAAAGCAGCTGGGTAACTTTTTCAATAACATTCAAAATACTGACATTTCACTCCTCAAATCTTAAATTAATGTGTTGAATGCAATGATATCCAAAGGTCTGACTGTTTGTTTTCTCTACGATGAAGCTGATTTTTTTATACTTGTGTTTGGACAGAACAAGAGAGCAATGGAAACATTCACATTAGACACATTTTCAATGACTGACTATTATTATGATGATAGCAGCCCCCCTCCTAATCATTCCTCATTTGGCCAACCATCGGATCCGTCAGACAGTTCACAAGGGGGCTGGGTCATACTCCTTGTGGTCAATGTGGTTATCCTACTGCTTGGGGTTTTTGGGAATGGGGTGGTCATCTGGATCGCTGGTCTCAAGATGAAAAAGACTGTCAACACCACCTGGTACCTCAGCCTGGCCATCTCCGACTTCATATTCTGTGCCTGTCTCCCCTTCAACATAATCTCCATGGTAACAAAGGAGTGGATGTTAGGGCTCTTCATGTGCAAGTTCACCTCTTTTGTGATATTCCTCAACATGTTCAGCAGCATCTTCCTCCTGGTCGTCATCAGTGTTGACCGTTATGTACTTGTCGTATTCCCAGTTTGGGCCCAGAACCAGCGAACTGTGAGGAGGGCCTCTGTAGTTGTGGTTCTTGCCTGGGCTATCTCTGTTGCACTGAGCATTCCCTCCACAGTGTTTCGTCAGGTAACCACAGATGGCACAACAAAGTGCTTTAATGATTACCCATACCGAAACCGTCACATAATTGTAGCTGTCAGTCGATTTGTCAGTGGCTTTGTGCTCCCACTCTTCATCATCATCTTCTGCTACTCTGTCATCATCCTGCGACTGAGGACCAACAGGTTGACCAGGTCCTCCAAACCCTTCAGAGTCCTGACTGCACTAATAGCCTTGTTTTTCATCAGCTGGCTTCCATACCATGTCTTCATCATTCTGGAATTTGGAGCCAGCGATCAAACTTCTCTAACTGTTATTCATGAATGGCTAAAGATATCTGCGACTCTGGCTAGTGCAAACAGTTGCATGAACCCATTTCTGTATGCATTCATGGGCAAAGACTTCAAGCAGAAATGCTGGAACTCTTTCCTTTCTAAGATTGAAAATGCTTTTGATGAGGAGGAAGGCTCTTCAAGGAGTAGAAGGACCTCTTTCTCCCAGGCTGATTCAAAAGTTAATACAAATGTCTGATTGCCCTATAATTACAGTATTTGTTGAAAGGCAAACTTATGCCCCTTAAGTAAATTTTATGTATTGCCAATACAATAACCCATTAAGGTCCATGGTTGTGACAATATCAGGTTTGCTCTGTGTTATCTTAGCCAAATGTAATGCAAACAATGCACACTTTTTAACCATGAGGAAATAACACATTTAAATGTGTTTTCTGTAACACCCACACAATTCTTGTAACGGTATTGTTCAAATGTAGTTTAACGTAATTTTCATCACCACTCAAGTAATATAAGCAACAATATTGTACTGTATATTAACAGTAAGTTAGCAGCATGTGCATTTCCTGCCATGCATCACCCATCTTTTGGTTGACAGGTTTTTGTGTAATCAGATTTGTACTATGAAATGTAATTCAGCCCACAGTTTCCAACACTCATCTGTCAGGTTGTCTGCTGTGACACTGAAAGGTCAAGTGTAATTACATATCCTATAGAGGAGCTGAGAATCTTATTGACGAGCCCTGTGTTTATACTTCACAAAACCGCTGTATGTCAACTATTTATTTTGGATGAGCGTGAAGCCATTGGAACTTCATACTGTACTAATATCCCTTACAAATTGTGAAATAGCTGTTTTCACATGTTGAGCTGAAACTTTCTCATGTGAATCCATATGTTCACATGTATTACATTTAGAGTTCACAAGTTAACACCACCTTTTCACATGTGAGGAGAATAACATGTTTTCCCCTCACGTGAATTGCAAGTTCACGTGAAAAATGCAGTTTCACATGTAAAAAACATTCATGTAAAAATCTAACTTTCACATATGTAATTGCAAGTTCACATATGGGGTGAAATAGTGTTATTCTCCTCCCATGTTAAGAGGTGGTGTTAACATGTTGCAGTAGCAATGTTTCCACATGTGGAATTGCAAATTATGTAATGCCATTCTGTAAAAAGGTAACTGAGTATAATAATTCCAGTGTGTTAAAAAATAATTATGGAGCCATCGATTTTTATTGTATTCCTCCGTGGTGTTGCATTGATATACATGTATACTTAACGCTACCACTAGGGGGAGGCATTCGGAGTGTTACTGCTGCAGGCGCATGCCTCGCTTCTTCATACGTTGGTCCGTGAGCTAGCTAGCTCGCTGTTTCTCCTTATTTTTAATATTCTGTTTTCCGGATTGTATTCATGGTTACGTTTTCAAAATCTAGAGATAACATTTTTAACTGAACTGTAATTAGTTTTCTGGTCATTTTGATGTATATTTAAATTGTTTTGACCAAGTGAAAAACAAGTATGTTTTTTTCCATTAACATGAGTATAGACAAGCTAGCTAAGTAACTAGCTAGCTAGCTCACTTTTGTGTGCAAGTCAATGATAACATGTTGGCATCTGATTATTTTTGTTATTTCTTTTATACTTTTTGGGGCTTTTAAATGGTAAAAAAAATACAAACAAGGGCTCATATTGAGCGTATTTCCATGTGTACATATGAACCACGCTAATTATATGTATTTTAGAATGCATTTTTTTATTAAATCTATATCTAATAGCCGCATGCTAATTTCTAACTGCTAGCTAGCTGCCATTTCGTCCTAGCTAGCTAGTTTTAGCTTCTATTATATTAATGTATTTGAAATGTGTGAATGTGTTTGCTATTGGAATGAATGTAAACAGATGATTTTCTACAAAAATATGATTTTGAACGGTCAATATTCTGAGATTGAGTGAAATGTGGAATAAATATACATTGGAAGAGAACCCTAGCGAAAATAAGTTTAGTCTTCGTGTCTCCTTATTTATCCTGTTTAACATGTCAAAATTCACATTAAAATGTGAAGCACCATAAATCATGGTTGTTCATGTTCACTGGTTGGTTTCTAATCTCAGGGTTTTAATCCCGGCAGTTACAAAAACTCACATGTGAAATGTATAATATCACATGTGAAATTTGGGGAAACCACGTCTGAGTTATGTGAAAAATTAACATGTGAAATTTCAATTAACAGGTGTGCCATGTTAAAAGTTAATTTGTGGAATTTCTTTCCTTCTTAATGCCAATCAGTTGTGTTGTGACAAGGTAGGGGGGGTATACAGAAGATAGCCCTATTTGGTAAAAGACCAAATCCATATTATGGCAAGAACAGCTCAAATAAGCAAAGAGAAATGACAGTCCATAGTAAAAAATAAAGAAAAGTCCTTGAATGAGTTGGTGTTCTAAAACTTTTGACCGGTAGTGTACATTCAAATGTGACACCCCCTTTCAGATAGTGCCAGCCTGTTAATGAAAGTCAGAGCCACTTAAAGTTAAAGTCTGTGTCCAAAAATTGAAGTGATCATCTGTCCCATAATAGTTGTTGCATTACAAAGACATGTTTTATTTTGTTGCACGTACTATAAAAATATATGTGTATGTGTGTGTGTGTGTGTGTGTGTGTGTGTGTATATGTGGTACCAGTCAAAAGTTTAGACACACCTACTCATTCCAAGGTTTTTCTGGAAGACATCAAAACTATGAATTAACACATATGGAATCATGTAGTAACCAAAAAAGTGTTAAACAAATCAAAATATATTTTATATTTGAGATTCTTCAAATAGCCACCCTTTGCCTTGATGACAGCTTTGCACACAGGTAGGGGAGGTATACAATTGAAGTCGGAAGTTTACATACACCTTAGCCAAATACATTTAAACTCAGTTTTTCACAATTCCTGACATTTAATCCTAGTAAAATGTCCCTGTCTTAGGTCAGTTAGGATCACCACTTTATTTTAAGAATGTGAAATGTCAGAATAATAGGAGAGACAATGATTTATTTCAGCTTTTATTTCTTTCATCACATTCCCAGTGGGTCAGAAGTTTACATACACTCGATTTGTATTTGTTAGCATTGCCTTTAAATTGTTTAACTTGGGTCAATCGTTTCGGGTAGCCTTCCTCAAGCTTCCCACAATAAGTTGGGTGAATTTTGGCCCATTCCTCCTGACAGAGCTTGTTTAACTGAGTCAGGTTTTTAGGTCTTGCTCGCACACGCTTTTTCAGTTCTGCCCACAAATGTTCTATAGAATTGAGGTCAGGGCTTTGTGATGGCCACTCCAATACCTTGACTTTGTTGTCCTTAAGCCATTTTGCCACAACTTTGGAAGTATGCTTGGGGTCATTGTCAATTTGGAAGACCCATTTGCGACCAACCTTTAACTTCCTGACTGATGTCTTGAGATGTTGCTTCAATATATCCACATAATTTTCCTTCCTCATGATGCCATCTGTTTTGTGAAGTGCACCAGTCCCTCCTGCAGCAAAAGAAACCCCACAGCATGATGCTGCCACCCCCGTGCTTCACGGTTGGGATGGTGTTCTTCGGCTTGCAAGGTACTCCCTTTTTCCTCCAAACAAAACGATGGTCATTATGGCCAAATAGTTATATTTTTGTTTCATCAGACCAGAGGACATTTCTCCAAAAAGTATGATCTCTGTCCCCATGTGCAGTTGCAAACCGTAGTCTGGCTTTTTTATGGCGGTTTTGGAGCAGTGGCTTCTTCCTTGCTGAGCGGCCTTTCAGGTTATGTCGATATAGGACTCGTTTTACTGTGGATATAGATACTTTTGTATCTTTTTCCTCCAGCATCTACACAAGGTCCTTTGCTGTTGTTCTGGGATTGATTTGCACTTTTCGCACCAAAGTAAGTTCATCTCTAGGAGAAAGAACGCGTCTCCTTCCTGAGCGGTATGACGGCTGCGTGGTCCCATGGTGCTTATACTTGCGTACCATTGTTTGTATAGATGAATGTGGTACCTTCAGGCTCCCAAGGACGAACCAGACTTGTGGAGGTCTACCATTTTTCTTCTGAGGTCTTGGCTGATTTCTTTTGATTTTCCCATGATGTCAAGCAAAGACGCACTGAGTTTGAAGGTAGGCCTTGAGATACATTCACAGGTACACCTCCAATTGACTCAAATTATGTCAATTAGCCTATCAGAAGTTTCTATAGCCATGACATCATTTTCTGGAATTTTCCAAGCTGTTTAAAGGCACAGTCAACTTAGTGTATGTAAACTTCTGACCCACTGGAATTGTGATACAGTGAATTATAAGTGAAATAATCTGTTTGTAAACAATTGTTGGAAAACTTACTTGTGTCACGCACAAAGTAGATGTCCTAACCAACTTGCCAAAACTATAGTTTGTTAACAAGAAATGTGTGGAGTGGTTGAAAAACGAGTTTTAATGACTCCAACCTAAGTGTATGTAAACTTCCGACTTCAACTGTACATGTGTCCAAAAAAACACACATTTCCTGAGCTTTCTTATATCTCCTAGATATAGGCAGTGGCGTGTATTCATGGATGCCAAGGGAAGCCAGGCTTCCCCATAAAAAAAATAAAAACATACATTATTTTATCTTTCGTCTCTCTGTGTTTCATAATTTTTCTTCAATTCGCAAGAGACTGAATGTATCTCACCGGAGAAAGCATCAAAGCGAGCGAAACAGTGCCACTCTGTCTCTCTACAGAGGCCATCTAACTGAGGCTGTCTGGTCCAAACGAGTATGACATTGTTACAGCCCGTAGCATTGAATGGAATGCAAGGGAAGCCAGCGAGCATTTGGCCTCCCTTGATAAAAAAGTATAGAAATTTGCAAATCAGCGTTGAGCTAAACTGAGCGAGCTTAATTGTGAATGGTCCTGGCGCACAAAAGAAAAAGTGTCAAGGGAAGCCAGCTTGGATTTTGGCGCCACTCCTATCAAATCGCATTGAGAGTATTCGTCATTGACCGAAACAACTTGAATTGCTGTATCTCATTGTGTTTTTGTCCTCCGGTGGCTAGCTAGCTAGCTAGCTAAAATTGTCCCTTTCCTAAATTAGCCATGGATGGAGATAGGGATTTGGACTTTTGGTTTTACTTAATTCTCTGTACTGGCCAATGATTATAACAGCGATTCTGATCCAACCATTAATTCATACATTATTGATCCCCTGGCCTGAGAGGATGGAACTTCAACATGTAGCTAGATGTAGAAGGCTAACGTTAACTAGCTAGCTAACGTTGCCCATGAATGGAAGTTCGGCTAGCGAGCAAGCATTTTAGCCAGGTAACCTAGGACAACAAAAAATTAAAGCGTGTACTTTATGACAGAGTGTTAGGCGTTTTGAAAGTAGGGTGAGTCAACATATTTTTCTACTTGCACGAACGCGCACTCACACACAGAAATCAGAACCATGGACAGCCACATCATATTCAGCTTATGTTGATTGGACTAAATTGTTTTTGATGTCTTTTAGTATCAGACTGTATCAGACTAAGCAGAGGTGATTTGATGATGTTGAAATGGTGCTGGAATAGTGGAGGCAGCTCTTGTTTTCTTTGCAACTTGCAGTAACTCTCTGTGGTTCTAAATCAGTAGTTGTTTAGCGGTCCGAAAATGGCGGAAACATTAACATACTTGACCATGCTGTAGGTCATGTAATGTCTGTTACATGCAATATGCTTTGTGGACTAAACCGGACAGAGGTTGCTATCTGGTTTTGTGATAAAACAAAGGTGTGATTTAATTAATTCTGCCACTCTGTCTTCTTATTGTCTCGGCCTTTAGGCTTATATATCACGGTCGCAAGGCATATGAATGAACAAGTTATAGAGCAAACAATGCAATTATTGCATAACATTGGTTGTAATATGACTTTTTTTTATGGCTTCCCCAGTGATTTTACCCACACACCACTACTGGATATAGGACAGATACTTCAAAACCTTATTCCCTTTTTATAAAATTTTTTGACTGTCCTTTTTGCCATTTATGAATGTATATTCAATGCGTTTCTATGGGCTATAGTAGTAATGGCCAAATTCATTTTTTTATCAAATAATGTTATATTTTTTGCTTATCTAAAGGCGTCCTAAAATGTTTAATCCAATAGCTAAATGATCTATGGTATGACCATCTTAAAACAATTCCATATGTTAGCTTAGTAGACTTTTAGTTAAATAATCAACCTACATTATCTCTTCATTATGATGTCAATCATACAGACACAAAATTAAAAAATACATTTTTAAGGAGATTTTTGCAAACAAAATGCTGTGTGTTTGAGTCAATTAAGGCAGGCAAACTTATAAGTTGTTAAAGACAACTTATGCTCCCCATGAGTTGTCTTTAATGTAACTAGTTATCACTTGAAGTATTATACTATGTGGGTATGCTTGATAACTCAACGGTGTTGAATAACATTCCTCTGCCACAAAGTGTGGTGGCATACTATCATTGATTGTAAACCCCAGCCTGTATTGAAATCTACAGTTCCTTCAGAAAGTATTCACACCCCTTGACTTTTTCCACATTTTGTTGTGTTACAGCCTGAATATATATATATATATATATTTTAGATTGTTTGTCACTAGCCTACACACAATACCCCATAATGTCAAAGTGGAATTATGTTTTTCAAAATTTTTACAAATTAATATAAGTCAATAAGTATTAACCCCTTTGTTATGGCAAGACAAAATAAGTTCAGGAGTAAAGATTTGCTTAACAAGTCACTCTGTGTGCAATAATAGTGTTTAACATGATTTTTGAATGACTACCTCATCTCTGTACCCCACACATACAATTATCTGTAAGGTCCCTTAGTTGAGCAGTGAATTTCAAACACAGAGTCAACCACAAAGACCAGGAAGGTTTTCCAATGCCTCGCAAAGGAAAGCCCCTATTGGTAACACTTTGGATGGTGTATCAATACACCCAATCACTACAAAGATACAGGAGTCCTTCCTAACTCAGTTGTCGGAGAGGAAGGAAACCGCTCAGGGATTTCACCATGAGGCCAATGGTGACTTTAAAACAGTTACAGAGTTTAATGGATGTGATAGGAGATAACAACATTGTAGTTTCTCCATCATACTAACCTAATTGACAGAGTGAAAAGAAGGAAGCCTGTACAGAATAAACTATTCCAAAACATGCATCGTTTGTAACAAGGCACTAAAGTAATACTGCAAAAAAATTGGCAAAGCAATTAACTTTTTGTCCTGAATACAAAGTGTTATGTTTGGGGAAAATCCAATACAACGCATTACTGAGTACCACTCTCCATAATTTCAAGCACATTGAGGGCTACATCATGTTATGGGTATGCTTGTAATCGTTATGGGCTGGGGAGTTTTTCAGGTTAAAAATAAATGGAATAGAACTGAGCACATGCAAAATCCTAAAGGAAAACCTGGTTCAGTCTGCTTTCCACCCGACACTTGGAGATTAATTCACCTTTCAGCAGGACAATAACCTAAAACTCAAAGCCAAATCTACAATGGGGTTGCTTTACCAAGAAAATATTTTATGTTCCTGAGTGGCCGAGTTACAGTTTTGATTTTAATCTACTTGGAAATCTAGACCTGAAAATGGTTGTCGAACAATGATCAACAACCAATTTGACAGAGCTTGAAGAATTTAAAAAAGAATAATGTCCAAATGTTGCACAATCCAGGTGTGGAAAGCTCTTAGAGAGTTACCCAGCTGTAATCGCTGCCAAAAGTGTGATCTACAAAGTGTCAATACTTGTGAAAATGAGATATTTCTGTAATTCATTTTCAATAAATTTGCAAGATGGGTGAGATTATTATTTTTTTCATCCATTTTGAATTCAGGCTGTAACACAACAAAATGTGGAACAAGTCAAGGCGTATTAATACTTTCTGAAGGCACTGTATTAGTCCAATGGAAATCTGTTTGAGTTTTCAAGTGGTCTATCATTTCAGACACAGTAGTTGCATTAATTGCATAACTACATCCTTGGTATTTTGTTTTCATAAGTTAGAACACTTTCGACACTAGTGCGTCTGGTGATGCATTAAGTGGCCAATTTAATTAAGCAATAAGGCCCGAGGAGGTGTGGTATATGGCCAATATACCACGGCTAAGGGCTGTTCTTATTCCCGACGCAACGCGGAGTGCCTGGACACAGCCCTTAGCCGTGGTATATTGACCATATACCACAAACCCCTGAGGTGCCTTATTGCTATTATAAACTGGTTACCAACGTATTTAGAGCAGTAAAAATAAATGTTTTGTCATACCCATGGTATACGGTCTGATATACCACAGCTGTCAGCCAATCAGCATTCAGGGCTCGAACCACCCAGTTTATAATATCAAATATCATCAACAATATATTCACATTGCCAATAATATTTGATGTTACTACTAATTTAATTTCCCCTACATTTCAAATTAAGGCCAACAGCCAGCTGACAGGAAAGGCACTGCATTATCATTTTGCTTCAAACCACCATTGTGAGAAAAAGCAACTAGCTCTGCAGAGTCATTTGGCAGAAGTTGTAGTTTCGAAATAGCGCTGTTTACAGAAAATGACGTTCAATTAATCCACAATAAATTCATAGTGCGCAGTGTGGCTGGCTGACCACCACTGAGGAGACAAATGAACAAGCAGTCATTGAGTCAATCAGTAGAATCAAGGCTAGTTATTGAAAGGGCTGTCTTGACAAGAGGCAGGAATATTCCATAGAGCCTGATGGTCAAAACAAACTGTGGAGGGTTTATTATTCAGTGTTCCAGAGCTGTTGTCAGTAACCAGAAGGACTTCTGTACAGACAAAATACATCAGTAGGACTGATACAGCACAGTTTTATGTGAGGCCACTGCTTCAGAAAACTAGAGATGCTGTATGATAGTGTTGTATCACCTCAGGCTCTCCTCATAGGAATACTGCTGAAGAATGAGGAGAAGAGAGGGGAGACCTGTCCTCATGGTGTGTCCGCAGGGATGGATGGAGAGACAAGTGTCTAGTTCCATTCATTGCCTCTTCTAGATGGATTTGGGGCTCTATTCAATCAGATCCGCTTTAGCCGACATCCGATAGCGGTTAGAGCTTTCAAATCCACCCAGCCAGCACAGCCACAAGTGGCTCCTGGCATAATACCTGAAACGGACATTGCTATTGGATCACACGGAGTCGCATTATCAGAAATCCCATGCAGCCTTGTTTACAAATTAGAACACTGGAATGTGAGATGTAATCTTCACCTCGATTAGGATGATAGAAATCCTCATTATTTCGTTTATGATTTTTCAATTCGAGCGTAGTTATATAGCCTGCACTTTCTCGTTCTGAACTTCTAACTCGAGTGGGGAGGGTGTCGCTTCATGACAATGATCGCAAGAGCAGCTGCTCACCGATTTTGAAGGCTCCAATGCAGTTCCACCTCTGACTCGCCAAATCATCCGCTATTTGTGTGTCTGCTATTGCCAGTTAACTCTTTATCTGATTCAATCTAGGCCTTCGTTGCTTTCGCAATTGGTTGCTTGGTTGGTTGCTTTCGCCAACCAAGTCACATTTAGAACAGTTTGGACCACATCCTCATTTTAAGTCCAGTAGCTTTCAAACATACAGTATTCAGCAAACAGAAGTATACATATAGCATTTGTCGTCTCTCTAACAAAACAAAACATTTAGTTGAAAATGACAGACCATTAAAATGTTTTGTGACCATTTTTAACCCATTTCATGAAAGAGTATTTGTTATTCTAATCTGTGATAGCAGCAGATCCTATTCGATAACATACATTATGCATAGAAATAGACTTCTTACAGTTCTTTTTAATCATCAATTTCAGATTAGCAGGACTTTGCTCCTTGAGGTCAGTTGACAGTAATCCAGCCATTATGTACTTGGATGTGCTTCCAACACAGCTACTGTACCTTCATGTTAAGTCATAGTGCACAACACATACATGTGCATAGAGGGGGAAGTGCTTCTCATTGGTCCTTATTTGAGTTCCCCAATGAATGCATGTTCATCAGCCAAGTAGCTAAATGTCATTTCTAAAGCAGTATACAGTATGATGCTGTTGTCCTAATCAATATGGTTGTGTGTCTGTCAGTTAAACTAATAAAGAAAAGGGATGTGCGAAAGAAGGAGACAAATAAAGAGGTGGAGGGGAACAGGGAAGTGCTTTAAATACAACTGTATTTCCTACACATAGATTTTCAGTTCATGTGACTTTTTGGACATAGATGCCATTAATCCCAGAACGATGTGGGAAGGGAAGGGCTATAAGAAGAGTGAGAAAGGGAGAGAGAGAGGAAAAGGAAAGGAACTCATATCATCTTGAAGTCGGTCGGTACTCCTTGGGCACCCCGGCAATGTTCCTCTTCTTAAGGGCAGCGTCTACAGTCATGACCAGTTCGTCAATGCTAGCACGCATCTCGGGTGTGTACGGGTCATACTCCAGTTTACGCAGGCCGGAGCGCTTAAAATTGCCGTCCTTCTGTCCCTCTACACAGAGCAGGCGATCCTCGGCCACCTCCAGGCCCAGAAACAGGACCATGCCCTTGAGCTTGGAGAACAGCTCCCTCTTCAGCTCCTCAAAGTGGACCACGTGGACATTCCTCCCATAACGCAGCCAGTCTAGTGTGTGGGATGCCCACCAAGGAGCATAGTTCTTCACAAACTCAGGCCACTCTGTAAAACAACACAGAACACAGGAAGCAGATTATAAGTTGTTTCTCAGAAATGATCTTGACAATGCAAGATCATTATCGAGTATTGTGAGAAGGCCTAAAATCTTATTTAAGGGTACACAATTGAGCTCCGGGATATATCAAAGTATAAATTATTCTAATACAAAATGAGGAGAAAACACCTATAAATGGGGCACTATTGGCTGAATGAACAGCCCAGGGAACAGCAGTAAAGAATACAATTTGAGAGAAGCAGGTCATTTCTGCGGCTCTGTACATCCCCAGGGATTCCTGGGTAGTGGATACAGCAGAGGAGGCCTCTCTTCCAGCAGGCACATCTTTTTTTTTCAGCAGGCAATTAAGCTGGGAGGAAAGGTACCCACCCCTCCCCCATCCCCTTTCCCTGCAGAATAATCATCAAACACTGATGTTATTTCATTTAAGAGGTCTGGTGCAATTCACCCAGTGTAATCACAGCACATAATGCATTCTCTGAGACACAGGCTTCGTTGAGGGGATTAAATTAATGACATGGAACAAAGCAAGTTTTAGTCCTTTTAGCAGACAGACAGACCTGCTGCAGTCTGGGAGGCTCAGGATTTACCACCAGGGTCAATGAAGAGCTGCATCGGAGAACATACTGTTGAGAAGGTGACAGCTAAGACAGGGATCTACTGTTGTGGCACCAGTAGGTCTACCAACACCCTACAGTCTACACTATCGTTCAATTGGCTGTTAAGACAGTTCACTGCACCATACCCTTTTGGAATACTTTACTGGAGAAACTTTTCAATCATTTATAAGCAACAGTCCATAAAGGAATTGGCAGGCAAAGCCAGCGCTGCATTAGCATGTACTAGGAGGAGAGGGATGGTTGTTAAAGTGTAATCTCTGCTGAGTTAGCAGTGGAGGCTTGGGGATTCAGATGATATGGGAGTGGAAGCTACACTGCCACAGTGAACTATAAAATAACATTGCATGTTAAAGTGCAGCAGTGAAGCAGAGAAACTGTCTGCCACAGTTCTCTTCTCAGATAGCAACACAAAATCTGGAGGCCCAAAACACCACAGCTATTGAATCCCTTTTGAACAAACCTCATGTCTTGTATGCCAGGCCCAGGAAGGGTTGGTAAATAAATACAGTAGACTGTCCTAATCAGAGAAGGATAGCACAATTCAACCATTTAAATGTAGTATGTGAATGGATAGAGGTTTGTTTGCTTGTCAGTCAGTTGGGATTTAGTTAGAAGTCAGAATGTGCAGTTCATTTCTTGCCATGAACCAAGGTTGTTGAGCTCCTCTGGACATCAGGAAGTACAGAATGTTAGCCTCTAAGCACAATATGGAAATGTGAAAGTAGTTGGGGCCCTAATACAGTACAGTGAAAGGAGCTGCATGAATAACTGAATTATGTAGCCAAGGGACAATTGTTGGTTTAGAGATTGTCGGATAATCTTTTTGACAAATTCAATCATCCACGTAATCTTTCAGAGACCACTTCCGAATATGACACATAGCCTACTGATACTTATGCATGTGTAACATTCAAACTCTGGCCAAAATAAGTTATGCCCCCAAGGTAATTGTATGAGGCTACAGTGCGTTGAAAGGTGACAGTAACTCTAACGTCATAACACCCTACGGGCCTGGATCAGGTGATCACACAGCTGGGCACAGCCCTTACATAATGTCCTGCTGACTCAGATATTCCATCCCAAATTACACCCTATTCCCTATTTAGTGCAATACCCGTATGGGCTCTGGTCTAAAGTATTGAACTTTATAGGGAATATGGTGTCATTTGGAGCATGCCAGAGACTATGCTTCCCTCCAGATCACAACTGGCAGCTGTCAGAAAGCCTTTTCTCTCTCTAACGCTCTCACATCATCTCTACACCAACAAATAAAGGAGAAACAATCATGGCTGACAGCAGTCCGAATCCGCGGATGTTTTCGAATGCTGGGGTCTGCAAGTCTTCATCTCTCTCCCAGGAAAATCTATTTAACGACAGACAAACTCACAGGAGATTTCAGATAGGAGCCGGTTGTCATGGTTACTGACACACTGGAGTGTGTCGAGGGAAAAATAGATAATGCGACAACACAACATCAAAAAATGTCTGCCTGTTGGAGAAGCTGAAATTGAGAAAATCTTACAACACGATAAACTTTTTTATTTTATTTTTTATCACAAGACAATTCAAATGAAAAAAGGGATTGTGGAGTCTAGAAAGTGAGAAAGTGAGCAGAGAAACTGTTTACTCAAACTTGTATTTTGGAGCAAACATGCAAAGAGAAGTTTTCCCTCTGAAAAGGTCTTATCCATTACTCTTATCTTACCAACATATACCAATGGATACTCAAAAATGTACACTGAGTGTATAAAACATTAAAAACACCTTCCTAATGTTGAGTCCCAAGGCTTCCAAATCCTTCTTTAACCCGTCTCCTCCCCTTAGTCTACACTGATTGAAGTGGATTTAACAAGTGACATCAATAAGGGATCATAGCTTTCACCTGGATTCACCTGGTCAGTCTATGTCATGGAAAGAGCAGATGTCCTTAATGTTCTGTACACTCAGTGTATACGCATGTATTACACATCTGCTGTGCTGCTCTCACAAAGCATAGATTAGGCAATATGAGAAACTAAGGTTCACACTACCCAAAACTACAGTGACAACATACTGGCACTTCCTCTAGATCATGAGTAAGGTCTTATCTGACTTCTCATTTTCTGGTCTCTCTTAGTGTTAAAGCAGAAGACAGATCTCAAAACCCCATTCTATCATTCAGACATTAAAAGCCTTTGAGTTTACCAAATTAGTTGATAAGGAGAGAGCCACTGAAAATCGGCACACAGTAGCAAATAAAACAAATAAAAATAAAAATGCCACATGCGCCGAATACAACAGGTGTAGACGTTACCGTGAAATGCTTATGTCACGATCGTCGAACAGAGATGAGGACCAAGGCGCAGCGTTGCAGGCAAACATACTCTTTAATAGAGACACGATCAAAAACGACAAAACGAAAACGTGACAGTTCACGGTCTAACACAACAGACTAGAAACAAGATCCCACAAACTCTGTGGGGAAACAGGCTGCTAAAGTATGGTTCTCAATCAGAGACAACAAGCAACAGCTGAATCACGTTGCCTCTGATTGAGAACCACACTGGCCAACATAGAACAACAATACTAGAATGTGAAACCTAGAACAAAACACATAGACCGCGCCCACCAAATACCACAGGGGAGGGACCGGGTGGGCACTCCGCTTAGGCGGCGGATCCGGCTCCGGGCCTGATCCCCGCTCCCTCTCCAACCCCCCAAGGTACCCCTGGTCCGGTCTGGCCCCGCTGGCCGGAGCTGGACTGCACACTGGTGGAGCGGATTGCTCTAGCTCCGGCGTGAAGCATCTGACCGGTGCCACCGGTGGAACAGGCACGGGCCGTGCCGGACTGACGACGCACACCACTGACTTGGTGTGGGGAGCAGGAGCGGGCCGAGCCGGGCTATCGAAGCGCACCCCTGACTTGGTGCGGGGAACAGGCACGGGCCGTGCCGGACTGACGACGCACACCACTGGCTTGGTGTGGGGAGCAGGAGCGGGCCGAGCCGGGCTGTCGAAGCGCACCCCTGACTTGGTGCGGGGAGCAGGAACGGGCCGAGCCGGGCTGACGAAGCGCACCACTGACTTGGTGCGGGGAGCAGGAACGGGCCGAGCCGGGCTGACGAAGCGCACCACTGACTTGGTGCGGAGAGCAGGAACGGGCCGAGCCGGGCTGACGAAGCGCACGGGGAACAGGCACGGGTCGTGCCGGACTGACGACGCACACCACTGGCTTGGTGTGGGGAGCAGGAGCGGGCCGAGCCGGGCTGTCGAAGCGCACCCCTGACTTGGTGCGGGGAGCAGGAACGGGCCGAGCCGGGCTGACGAAGCGCACCACTGACTTGGTGCGGGGAGCAGGAACGGGCCGAGCCGGGCTGACGAAGCGCACCACTGACTTGGTGCGGAGAGCAGGAACGGGCCGAGCCGGGCTGACGAAGCGCACCACTGACTTGGTGCGGGGAGCAGGAACAGGCCGGGTCGAGCTGGCGACGCGCACCGTAGACTTGGTGCGAGTGGCAGGAACAGGCCGGACCGTACTGGGAACACACACCACTGGCCCTACGTGGGGATCAGGAACAGGCCGGACCGGACTGGCAACACACGCCAGTACCTCTCGCCGTGCCTCTACATCCTCCTTCCCCCTGGTGACCAGTGACTCCCGTAACCTGGCGGCCTCCTGCTGCCCCGTCGTCCACGGCGTTAGCCACCCCCTAAAAAATGTATGGGCTTCACTCCTACCCGTGGACCAGGTCTCCATGCTTCTCGCCAGCCTTTCGCCCTTCTGCCTCCACGTCAAGCCCCTCTCTTCCTCACCCGGCTAGACCCAGTCGAGGAGGCGCTGGATCTCCGCTAGGGATTTCCCTGGCGATGGCTCCTCGACCCGCTGCTTGGTCCAGTTCTGGTGGGATCTTCTGTCACGATCGTCGAACAGAGATGAGGACCAAGGCGCAGCGTTGCAGGCAAACATACTCTTTAATAGAGACACGATCAAAACGAAAACGTGACAGTTCACGGTCTAACACAACAGACTAGAAACAAGATCCCACCACTCTGTGGGGAAACAGGCTGCTAAAGTATGGTTCTCAATCAGAGACAACAAGCAACAGCTGAATCACGTTGCCTCTGATTGAGAACCACACTGGCCAACATAGAACAACAATACTAGAATGTGAAACCTAGAACAAAACACATAGACTTTACACACCCTGGCTCAACATATTAGAGTCCCCAGAGCCAGGGCGTGACAGCTTACTTACAGCCCTTAACCAACAATGCATTTCTATTTTAATAAAAAAGTAAAATAAAACAACAACAACAAAAAAGAGCAAAAGTAAAATCAAATAACAGTAGGGACGCTATATACAGGGGGGTACCGGTGCAGAGTCAATGTGCGGGGGCACCGGCTAGTTGAGGTAATATGTACATGTGGGTAGAGTTAAAGTGACTATGCATAAATAATTAACAGAGTAGCAGCAGTGTAAAAATATGGGGTGGGGGTGGGGGGTCAGTGCAAATAGTCTGGGTAGCCATGATTAGCTGTTCAGGAGTCTTATGGCTTGGGGGTAGAAACTGTTGAGAAGCCTTTTGGACCTAGACTTGGCGCTCCGGTACCGCTTGCCGTGCGGTAGCAGAGAGAACAGTCTATGACTAGGGTGGCTGGAGTCTTTGACAATTTTGAGGGCCATCCTCTGACACCGCCTGGTATAGAGGTCCTGGATGGCAGGAAGCTTGGCCCCAGTGATGCACTGGGCCGTACGCACTACCCTCTGTAGTGCCTTGCGGTCGGAGGCCGAGCAGTTGCCATACCAGGTGGTGATGCAACCAGTCAGGATGCTCTCGATGGTGCAGCTGTAGAAGTTTTTGAGGATCTGAGGACCCATGCCAAATCTTTTCAGTCTCCTGAGGGGTAATAGGCTTTGTCGTGCCCTCTTCACGACTGTCTTGGTGTGTTTGGACCATGATAGTTCGTTGGTGATGTGGACACCAAGGAACTTGAAGCTCTCAACCTGTTCCACTACAGCCCCGTCGATGAGAATGGGGGCGTGCTCAGTCCTCTTTTTTTTCCTGTAGTCCACAATCATCTCCTTTGTCTTGGTCAGGTTGAGGGAGAGGTTGTTATCCTGGCACCACACGGCCAGGTCTCTGACCTCCTCCCTATAGGCTGTCTCATCATTGTCGGTGATCAGGCCTACCACTGTTGTGTCGTTGGCAAACTCAATGATGGTGTTGGAGTCGTGCCTGGCCATGCAGTCATGGGTGAACAGGGAGTACAGGAGGGGAATGAGCACGCACCCCTGAGGGGCCCCCGTGTTGAGGATCAGCGTGGCAGATGTGTTGTTACCTACCCTTACCACCTGGGGGCGGCCCGTCAGGAAGTCCAGGATCCAGTTGCAGAGGGAGGTGTTTAGTCCCAGGATCCTTAGCTTAGTGATGAGCTTTGAGGGCACTATGGTGTTGAATGCTGAGCTGTATTCAATGAACAGCATTCTCACATAGATGTTCCTCTTGTCCAGGTGGGAAAGGGAAGTGTGGAGTGCAATAGAGGTTGCATCATCTGTGGATCTGTTGGGGCAGTATGCAAATTGGAGTGGGTCTAGGGATTCTGGGATAATGGTGTTGATGTGAGCCATGACCAGCCTTTCAAAGCACTTCATGGCTACAGAAGTCAGTGCTACGGGTCGGTAGTCATTTAGGCAGGTTATCTTAGTGTCCTTGGGCACGGGGACTATGGTGGTCTGCTTGAAACATGTTGGTATTACAGACTCAGTCAGGGACATGTTGAAAATGTCAGTGAAGACACTTGCCAGTTGGTCAGCACATGCTCGGAGTATACGTCCTGGTAATCCGTCTGGCCCTGCGGCCTTGTGAATGTTGACCTGCTTAAAAGTCTAACTCACATCGGCTACGGAGAGCGTGATCACATCGTCATCCGGAACAGCTGGTGCTCTCATGCATGCTTCAGTGTTGCTTGCCTCGAAGCGAGCATAGAAGTGGTTTAGCTCATCTGGTAGGCTTGTGTCACTGGGCAGCTCGCGGCTGTGCTTCCCTTTGTAGTCTGTAATAGTTTTCAAGCCTTGCCACATCCGACGAGCGTCAGAGCTGGTGTAGTACGATTCAATCTTAGTCCTGTATTGACTCTTTGCCTGTTTGATGGTTCGTCGGAGGGCATAGCGGGATTTCTTATAAGCGTCCGGGCTAGAGTCCCGCTCCTTGAAAGCGGCAGCTCTACCCTTTAGCTCAGTGCAGATGTTGCCTGTACGGTCACTGTGGGGATGACATCATCGATGCACTTATTGATGAAGCCAGTGACTGATGTGGTGTACTCCTCAATGCTATCTGAAGAATCCTGGAACATGTTCCAGTCTGTGCTAGCAAAACAGTCCTGTAGCTTAGCATCTGCGTCATCTGACCACTTTTTTATTAACCGAGTCACTGGTGCTTCCTGCTTTAGTTTTTGCTTATAAGCAGGAATCAGGAGGATAGAGTTATGGTCAGATTTGCCAAATGGAGGGCGAGGGAGAGCTTTGTATGCGTCTCTGTGTGTGGAGTAAAGGTGGTCTAGAGTTTTTTTTCCTCTGGTTGCACATTTAACATGCTGGTTGAAATTAGGTAGAACGGATTTAAGTTTCCCTGCATTAAAGTCCCCGGCCACTAGGAGCGCTGCCTCTGGATGAGTGTTTTCCTGTTCACTTATGGCCTTATACAGCTCATTGAGTGCAATCTTAATGCCAGCATTGGTTTGTGGTGGTAAATAGACAGCTATGAAAAATATAGATGAAAACTCTCTTGGTAAATAGTGTGGTCTACAGCTTATCATAAGATACTCTACCTCAGGCGAGCAAAACCTAGAGACTTCCTTAGTATTTGATTTTGTGCACCAGCTGTTGTTTACAAATATACACAGACCGCCACCCCTTGTCTTACCGGAATCAGCCATTCTATCCTGCCGATGTAGCGTATATCCCGTCAGCTGTATGTTGTCCATGTCGTCGTTCAGCCACGACTCGGTGAAACATAAGATATTACAGTTTTTAATGTTCCGTTGGTAGGATAACCGTAATCTTAGGTCATCTAATTTATTTTCAAATAATTGAACATTGGCTAATAGTATTGATGGAAGAGGCAGTTTACTCGCTCGCCGTCGGATCCTTACAAGGCACCCCGACCTACATCCACGATATCTCCTTCTCTTTCTCCTGCGAATGATGGGGATTTGGGCCTTGTCGGGTGTCTGTAGGATATCCTTCGTGTCCGACTCGTTGAAGAAAAAGTCTTCATCCAATACGAGGTGAGTAATTGCTGTCCTGATATCCAGAAGCTCTTTTTGGTTATAAGAGACGTTGGCAGAAACATTATGTACAGAATAAATTACAAATAACGTGAAAAAACACACATAATAGTACAATTGGTTAGAGGGCTGTAAAACGGCAGCCATCTTCTCCGGCGCCATCTCCAACTAATCATGATAGGGAAAGGGCACATCTACTGTATGCCAAGCATGTTCATATCTGTTGAGTTCACCTATTCATGACTCATCAGTATGCAGACAATTGGGTAACACTTTACATTACCCTTATTACTGTGTAACTATCCTCATGTAATTACTATGTAACAGTTTTGCAATTACTCATTATTGTACTTACACTGTACTTACAGCAGTAACCCTATTAACCTTAGCCCTAACCCTAACCCTAGTCTCATGTCCACACCCTGGCTCAACCCCAACCCTAACCCTAAGTACAGTGTAAATATAGTGATATAAAGAGTAATGACAATAGTTGTTACACTGTAATTACACCAATAATTACATAGCAATAAGGGCACTGTATCATTGGCTGAAGTCCCACCTTTCCCTCTCCAGTGGGCCTGCGAGGCAAATCCAATATGGCCGCCGTACTTGCGGTTGAACTCAGCCATGAGGGCCTTATAAGGGTTGCGGATCATGACGATGCTGGCGTCAAAGGCTTCAATCTCCTTCTTGCCGCTCTCATGTGTTTTAATGCAGACGGTCCTACCACTCCGCCAATGGTCTCGCTCACCTTTGAAGCCTTTTAAAAGAAAAAACAACAACGACAAAACATTAACATGCTTAATAGTGTAATTTTGGCTGTTTAAGTGACTGCATGACTTCCCAATGTATGACTACCCAGTACCCATGTCACCTGTTACCTCCAGGTTACAGTACCTTTGTTGTAGAGGGAGCCATCAAAGTAGTAGCTGCCTGTGTAGAAGCCAGTGGCCAGCTCTATGAGGTGGCGGGCCCAGGTGTTGCCAGCCCCGGGGAAGCTGGCCAGGGCCATCAGCTGCTTAGAACGCGTGGGCAGGAAGTGCCGGTCCATACAACGGTTATCTGAGGAAACACAGGAAAGAACACTGGTCACACACGTGACACACTATAATACATGATGAAATGAAATACACAGAATTATTTGTGTTCCTTCCAAAAAATCTATTATGAACCAGACACAAACTTTAAATACAACACTATAGCTGGACAGTGAGTGAGAATGTCAAAGGGCCTATGTACTTTAGCATGACAGTAGGAATCTCAAAGGGCCTCTGTAAGCCCCTGAATGACTGGTGAACAAAGAAAGCTATTTCAGGGTCATACATCCTACATTTAAAATTTTTGAGAAGGGGGATTATTTAAGATGTTCTTTGAGGAGGTAGGGTTTCAGGTGCTTTCGGAAGATGGGCAGGGACTCTGCTGTCCTAGCTTCAGGGGGAAGCTGGTTCCACCATTGGGGTGCCAGGACAGAGAAGAGCTTGGACCTGGCTGAGCGGGAGCTGCCCTCCTGTAGGGGTGGGAGGGCCAAGAGACCAGAGGTGGCAGGACGGAGTGCTCAGGTTGGTGTGTAGGGTTTGAGCAGAGCCTGAAGGTAGGGAGGGGGCAGTTCCTCTTGCTGCTCCGTAGGAAAGCACCATGGTCTTGTAGTGGATGTGAGCTTCGACTGGAAGCTAGTGAAGTGTGCGGAGGAGCGGGGTGACATGGGAGAACCTGGGAAGTTTGAAAACCAGGCGGGCTGCAGCATTCTGGATAAATTGCAGGGGTTTGATGGCATAAACGGGGAGCCCAGCCAACAGCGAGTTGCCGTAGTCCAGACGGGAGATGACAAGTGCCTAGACCTAGAGCAGACAGGTGCTTCTACTACAGAGAAAGAATAGGGCAAAGGTAATGTATATCGCTTTTGAAATCCAGTCATTGCGTCAAATGTCCTGCACTGTACAACACAATGCACTAGAGATTGACTCAGTAGATGTGTAAGCTTTGTTAATCACCCTTGATACAAGTTCCTGCTTAGCAACAGTGTAATAGAAAGGGAAAGGGGGATACATAGTCAGTTGTACAACTGAATGCAACGCTCCTACCTTCCAGGCTACCTGCCGCCCCTCATAGTATCACTTTTACAGTATAGACATTTTCACCTCAACCAGCACATTGACTTGGTACCGGTTCTCCTTGTATATAGCCTCGTTATTGTAATTTTTTATGTTACTATTTCCTTTTTTTTGTCTGTGCAAATGTTCTTACTTTTTAACTCTGCATTGTTGGGAAAGGGCTCATGAGTAAGCATTTCACGGTAGAATCTACACCTGTTGTATATGTGACAAATACACTTTGATTTGATTCGATCACACAATGACTGTGTAATGCAAATTAATGATAACAGAATGAAAGTTTGCCTACTTTTAGTAGGCTACACAAGGCATTGGGCCTACTACTGCCACATACAACTTTTTAAAAAATGTAGGCCTTTCTGAAATGCAGCCATATTGTCAAAATAACCGATGTGGATGTGGTGGAGGAGTCAGGCGCAGGACACAGAGGATTAGTCCAAAAGACTTTACTAGTCCAAAGTGCAACAAAACAATACACGACCTCGAAAACAAACGGAGGCGAGGGAATTACGCAACATGCGTAACACAATAAACAGAACTAACAGAGCGCAAACACGCAGCTCCGCACGACAGGCAAACAACAACACACAATCTAACTAATACAAAACAGGGAACTTATAAGACACGTAATCAGCACACAAACAGACACAGGTGTACAAGACAGACTAAAGCAATCACACCACGAAACATACAACGGTGGCAGCTAGTACTCCGGGGACGGCGAACGCCGAAGCCTGCCCGAACCAGGAGGAGGAGCAGTCTCGGCCGAAACCGTGACAGTACCCCCCCCTTGACGCGCGGCTCCAGCCGTGCGCCGACCCCGGCCTCGGGGACGGCCAGGAGGACGCGGACCCGGGCGCGTGGGATGCCCACGGTGGAACTCAGTCAGGAGGGATGGATCGAGGATGTCCCTCCTAGGCACCCAGCACCGTTCCTCCGGACCGTACCCCTCCCACTCCACGAGATACTGGAGACCACTCATCCGGCGCCTCGAGTCCAAGATGGTCCGGACCCTGTACGCCGGGGCCCCCTCGATGTCCAAAGGGGGCGGAGGGGTCTCTCCTATCTCATCTTCTTGGAGTGGGCCAGCTACCACCGGCCTGAGAAGAGACACATGGAACGAGGGGTTAATATTTTTGTATTCAATAGGCAGTTGTAACCTGTAACACACCTCGTTCAATCTTCTCAGGACTTTGAAGGGCCCCACAAACCGCCGACCCAGCTTCCGGCAGGGCAGGCGGTGCGTACACCGGTCCCTCACTGCGGTGGCGATCGGCGCTCGCCTTTTGTTGACGGATGGCCCGCTGCAGATGGACATGGGCAGCGTCCCACGTCTCCTCCGAGCGCCGAATCCACTCGTCCACCGCAGGGGCCTCGATCTGGCTCTCGTGCCACGGTGCCAGGACCGGCTGATACCCTAAAACACACTGGAAAGGTGTTAAACCGGTGGAGGAGTGCCGGGGGGAGTAGGGTCGGCATGCAGTGCCCGCTCGATTTCCGTATCGACCTCCCATTCCACCGGAGCCACCAGACAAGACTCCGGCAGTATGGAAGTGGGCTCAATGGACCTCTCCTCTGTGTCATACCGCCGGGACAGGGCGTCTGCCTTACCGTTCTGGGACCCTGGGATGTATGTGATCTTAAAAACAAACCGGGTCAGGAACATGTTCCACCTAGCCTGACGAGGGTTCAATCTCCTAGCTGCCCGGATGTACTGCAGGTTACGGTGATCGGTCAGAATGAGGAAAGGGTGTTGAGCCCCCTCAAGCCAATGCCTCCACACCTTTAGGGCCTGGACTACAGCTAACAGCTCCCTGTCCCCAACGTCATAATTGCGCTCCGCCGAGCTGAGTTTCTTAGAGTAGAACGCAGAGGGGCGGAGCTTAGGTGGCGTGCCGGACCGTTGTGACAGGACTGCCCCAATACCGGTCTCGGACGCGTCTACCTCTACTTGGAATGGTAAAGAGGGATCCGGATGCGCCGGCACCGGGGCCGAGGTGAACAGGTTCTTCAGTTTGACAAATGCCCTGTCCGCCTCAGCTGACCACTGCAGACGAACCGGACCCCCCTTTAACAGGGACGTAATGGGCGCTGCAACCTGTCCAAAGCCCCGAATAAACCTCCGGTAGTAATTAGCAAAACCCAAGAACTGCTGCACCTCTTTTACAGTGGTTGGAGTTTGCCAATTACGCACGGCCGACACACGGTCTACCTCTATCTCCACACCAGACGCGGACAACCGATAACCCAAAAAGGAGACGGACTCCTGGAAGAACAGGCATTTCTCTGCCTTGACGTACAAGTCATGCTCCAACAGTCTTCTCAACACTCGGCGCACCAGGGCTACATGCTCGGCTCGTGTAGAAGAGTACACTAGGATGTCGTCGATGTACACTACCACACCCTGCCCATGCATGTCCCGGAAAATCTCGTCAACAAAGGATTGGAAGACTGAAGGAGCATTCATTAGCCCGTATGGCATGACGAGATACTCGTAATGACCCGAGGTGGTGCTAAATGCCGTTTTCCATTCATCCCCCTCCCTAATGCGCACCAGATTGTACGCGCTCCTGAGATCCAACTTTGTGAAGAATTGCGCTCCGCGTAATGACTCCGTCATAGTCGCAATCAGTGGAAGAGGGTAACTGTACTTAACCGTGATCTGATTGAGACTACGGTAATCAATACACGGGCGCAAACCCCCGTCCTTCTTCTTCACAAAGAAGAAACTCGAGGAAACCGGGGAAGTGGAGGACCGTATGTATCCCTGTGCCAAGGACTCGGCTATGTAAGTCTCCATAGCCGCTGTCTCCTCTTGAGACAGGGGATACACACGGCTCCGCGGAAGAGCCGCTCCTGTTTGGAGATTTATCACACAGTCCCCCTGTCTATGAGGTGGTAGCCGTGTTGCCCTCGTCTTGCTGAACACGAGTGCTAAGTCCTCATACTTAGGGGGAATGCGCATTGCGGGCACTTGGTTCGGACTCTCAACCGAGGTCGCCCCTAAGGAAACACCTAGACATCTCCCTACACACTGGGCAGACCACTCCATAAGAGCCCTCTGTTGCCACGCAATGGTAGGATCATGGGTGCTTAACCAGGGAAGCCCCAACACCACGGGGTACGCAGGAGAGTCAATCAGATAAAACTGAATGATCTCCTCATGACCCCCCTGCGTCGTCATAGTAAGTGGTGCTGTGACTTCTCTGATCAGCCCCGACCCCAACGGCCGGCTGTCTAAGGCGTGGACAGGAAAGGGGGCTTCTACCGGCCGAAGGGGAATTCCAAACCTATAACAAAATGCCCGATCAATAAAATTCCCAGCTGCGCCTGAATCTACTAGCGCCTTATTCTGGGAATGAGGGCCACCTGTGGAAATCTCACAGGAATACTCATGTGACCAACAGAAAGCTCTGGGTAAGTGGGGCGCCTACTCACCTGAAATGACTCCCCAGTGCGTGACCTGTTGTCCCCTCTCCCAGGAGACCCTCCCCAGCACCTGGCCGCGGTGTGTCCTCCACGGCCACAGTTGGTGCAGGGGGTGGCCCCCCTCGGGTTCTCTCTCCTCCTCTCTCTAGCGCCAGCACCCCCGAGCTCCATGGGAATCGGATCGGAGGTGCTGGAGGGTGGAATGGTCGGCCCCCACTCGGGACGTCCGCGGGTAGCCAGCAGGGTGTCGAGACGTATGGAGATGTCCACCAACTGGTCGAATGATAGGTTGGTGTCCCTGCAGGCCAGCTCACGACGAACGTCCTCTCGTAGGCTGCACCGGTAATGGTCGATGAGGGCCCTCTCATTCCACCCCGCATCCGCCGCTAGCGTCCGGAACTCCAGTGCGAACTCCTGTGCGCTCCTCTTCCCCTGTCGGAGGTGGAACAGACGCTCCCCCGCCGCTTTCCCTTCAGGTGGGTGATCGAAGACAGCCCTGAAGCGGCGGGAGAACTCCGCGTAGGTGATGGTAGCGGCGTCTATTCCCCTCCATTCGGCGTTGGCCCACTCCAACGCCTTGCCGGATAGACAGGAGATGAGGGCGGAGACGCTCTCGTATCCCGAGGGCGCTGGGTGTATGGTAGCCAGGTAGAGTTCCAGCTGCAGGAGGAACCCCTGACACCCGGCTGCAGAACCGTCATATGCCCTCGGGAGCGAGAGCCGAATGCCACTGGGTTCCGGTGCTGAGAGAGGAGGACTGGCCGTTGGTGATGGGATGGAGTAAGAAGGCGTAGGCACCTCTCCAGTCACCAACCGGCGCAGAGTGTTGGACACCTCGTCCATGGCGGCCCCAAGTTGCCGGATCATGGTGTCTTGATAGCTGATCCGCTCTTCCAGCGACTTGGGTGCCGCCGCTGCTCTTGCTGACTCCATAGTTGGGTGTGTTGTTCTGTCAAAAGAACCGATGTGGATGTGGTGGAGGAGTCAGGCGCAGGACACAGAGGATTAGTCCAAAATACTTTACTAGTCCAAAGTGCAACAAAACATTACACGACCTCGAAAACAAACGGAGGCGAGGGAATTACGCAACATGCGTAACACAATAAACAGAACTAACAGAGCGCAAACACGCAGCTCCGCACGACAGGCAAACAACAACACACAATCTAACTAATACAAAACAGGGAACTTATAAGACACGTAATCAGCACACAAACAGACACAGGTGTACAAGACAGACTAAAGCAATCACACCACAAAACATACAACGGTGGCAGCTAGTACTCCGGGGACGGCGAACGCCGAAGCCTGCCCGAACCAGGAGGAGGAGCAGTCTCGGCCGAAACCGTGACACATATACACAACAACTGTCATTTTGCACACAAGAAATCATGCTATGTTGAAGAGAAGCACCACGAAGACTGATAGCCCAGGCTTTTTACCTGACTGGTTTTTCAAAGACAGCTTGAAATGTAGCCTACACGTTTTGTGCTCTTGTAGGAAGAAGCAGTAAGTCACCTTTGCTGACCTATAATTATCTCTAACTGGGCTAATAACTCGCTAACTAGCAAAGAATATCAACAAATGTGCACACGCGCAGCTCTGCACTCTTGATTTGAAAAGCACATTAATTGATCTGAAAACGCTCATGGGCTACCCCGCCAATATAGTTTTACTCCATTGCACTCTGGCTCTGCCTACAACAAAATCCCAGACTCAAGCTTGCAAAGTTAGATTTGTTTTGGTTTGTTGCATTGAAAAGGGGCTAATATAATGTTGATTAGATCACAGAAAAAACATGATCTATATAGTGCAAACTAATGAGGCGAACTCAGTGAAGTTCAATCTCTTGCGTCTCTGCACAGCCTGGCATTTCTTCTGCGCCGCAGTCCTGAAGGAGGTGCGCACGTGCGCAGCTTAGAGGGAACATTGGTCATGTTAGGCTGGTGTTCCGCTACAAATTTCCTTCACAATAGACATGTCATCTTGTAACTGTGCATCAAACATAGTGATCATAAATGTTGACACTGTATATGACATGAGTTTTATGATATGGAAATGTGAAGTGCACATTTGGACACAGGGGTGTTTGGCTTGCTTGTATGACATCAAAGCTATATTTATTATAATCCTCAACTTCTTATCTTTCAAAATACATCTAGTCATCTTAATTTACAGCATTTTCCTCACTCAGACAACAAAACTTGCAAAAGTCGCCCAATTAGCAGGCGGGACGGTGGCAACTTCTTGTCGCATGAGGTGCTTAAGTTCAGAATGGCTGTCAGTGAAACTCAACTCCTCTGTTGTCAAAAACTACAGACCAGTATCGCTTCTTTCTTTTCTTTTCTTTCCAAAACACTTGAGCGTGCCGTCTTTGACCAACTCTCTAGCTATCTTTCTCAGAACTATTTTCTTGACCCTAACCAGTCAGGCTTCAAGACGGGTCACTCAACCGAGACTGCTCTTCTCTGTGTCATGGAGGCTCTCTGCACTGCCAAAGCTAAATCTCTATCCTCTGTTCTCATCCTCCTAGATCTATCTGCTACCTTCAACACCGTGAACCATCAGATCCTCCTCTCCACCTTCTCAGGGCTGGACGTCTCAGGCTCTGCACACTCTTGGATTGCATCCTACCTGGCAGGTGACGTGGAGAGGATCTGTGTCTGCTCCACATACTCTCAAGACTGGTGTCCCCCAGGGCTCTGTACTAGGCCATCTCCTATTTTCTCTATACACCAAGTCACTTGGCTCTGTCATATCCTCACATGGTCTCTTCTAGCATTGCTATGTGGATGACACTCAACTACTTTTCTCCTTCACCCTTTCTGACACCCAGGCTGCGACACACATCTCTGCGTGCCTGGCAGGTATCTCAGCTTGGATGTCGGCCCACCACCTCAAGCTCAACCTCGACAAGACGGAGCTGCTCTTCCTCCATCACAGTTGACAACTCCACGGTGTCCCCCTCCCAGGCTGAAAATAACCTTGACGTGACCCTGGACAACACCCTGTTGTTCTTTGCAAACATCAAAGCAGTGACACGCTCCTGCAGGTTCATGCTCTACAGCATCCGTAGAGTAGAAGCGGCGCTGGTCCTAATCCAGGCCCTTGTTTTCTCCCGTCTGGTCTACTGCAACTCGCTGATGGCTGGGCTCCCCGCTGGTGCCATCAAACCCCTGCAACTTATCCAGAACCCTCCAGCCCGCCTGGTGTTCAACCTATCCAAGTTCTCCCATGTAACCCCGCTCCTCCGCACACTCCATTGGCTTCCAGTTGAAGCTCACATCCACTACAAGACAATGGTACTTGCCTACGAAGCAGCAAGAGGAACTGCCCCTCCCTACCTTCAGGCTATGCTCAAACCCTACACCCCAACCTGAGCACTCCACTCTGCCATCTCTGGTGTCTTGGCCCTCCCACCTCTACGGGAGGGCAGCTCCCACTCAACCCAGTCCAAGCTCTTCTCTGTCCTGGCACCCCAGTGGTGGAACCAGCTTCCCCCTGCCCATCTTCCAAAAACATCTGAAACCCTACCTCTTCAAAGAGTATTTTAAATAATCCCACAGCACCCCTTCTCACCACTAGCTTTGACTTTGCTGATAGCTACTTTATTGAGGAAATATTTACATTTCTGTGATATGTGGTTGTCCCACCTAGCTATCTTAACTGTAAGTCTGTAACTGTACGTCGCTCTGGATAAGAGCATCTGCTAAAAAAAAATAAAAACCATACAGCACTGTGAAGCGCAGAGCCTGAGCTCTGACGTTATTAATAGCATGTTACTTACAGCCAATGCGCCCAATTTAGGTGCTTCTCAGTGCCCAAATCTGCCATTTTAAAGGGCTACGGAAGCAAGAGATGCTTCAGTACATCAGTAATGTGTGCTGAGACAGCTGGGGATGCACTTCCTCATACTGGAGCAGAAAATAAAGGTCACATGAAACATGGCCAGTGAATAGTATTAAATATATTGTTAAGCAACTACACAGTAGGCTTCCTTTTTTGAGTTGCTTTGACTGTGGTTTTTAATGGTATCCTTATATATTGTGACTGGTCCAGACCAATATGTTGTTGTACACTGTTTATTAGAGTCTCTATATCCGCTTCTGAATGTAAGAAGAGCTGCTGCAGCACTAAGGCAGCATTGCTCACAGCCTCTCTGAGCATCCATTCACTGAAGTGTGAGAAAACAGCAGCGTGGGGTGATGGTGTGAAATAAGTGAGCTAGCTGTTTCACAAGAACACCCTCCCCACACTGGCCCATGCTCAGAAATACTGCCACTCCTGTGCCACTTTCAGCACTCTGTCAATCTCTTCTACTCAAAGAGCATCAATACAAATCTATGGAAATCCATCCTTTAATGTGAATGACATTGGTAATGGTAATTGATGTAGTCGTATCCAGTCATTACAACTAGAAAGGGTTTAGAATGATGAGGTCAGTGGCACATAGTGACTAGTTTACCTTGGACCTGTGTCTGGTACACCACAAAGTATTCGTCATTCCCACAGCTCTCAAACTCCTCGCCACGGCAGCGGTGCAGGCACATGTCCTCATCCTCCATCTCATGGAGGGAGAAGTGGGGGGTGGGGAACCCACAGAGACACCTGTCTCCAGCCAGGACTGCTAGGGACAGCTCCTTGAGGGCAGGAAGGAGGGAGGAGAGGGACGTTAGAGGGAGAAAGATGTACGCATATGATACACATGCACACAACCTCTCTCTCTCTCTCTCTCTCTCTCAGCACCAAGCAAACAGACATCGAAATCTGACATCACAACATGCACATTTCCCTCACCTTCTCTGTGCACATGTCCACACACTTCTCCACTGAAATGTTCTGGATGACAGCGCTAACGGGCAGTGCCAGTGTGACGTTGTCAGGTCTGTGGAAGCACCCCTTAAAGATGGCGCTCCCATCTGAACCAAGGAGAAACACAACAAACACAACATACTACATTAGTATCGATCACTAACCCATTTTCATGTGTGTTCTGACTGAACAAAACTTTCAGTTTGACCCCTATAGTATCCATCGAACCCTCCCTTGGCCTTGCTAGGAACCTAATACAGAGCATGAGGCCCTGACGCAGCAGCGGCCTGCCCTGAGCCGTTACCATCACATCAGGGACTGCCTGGCTCTCCTGCACTGGCTGTCTAAACAACCTTTATCCCCAGGCTATCCCTATGGACAACCACAGTGCAAACAGGCCCAGCCATACTGTAGAACAGCAAATAACAGGCCCAGCCATACTGTAGAACAGCAAATAACAGAACCAGACATACTGTAGAACAGCAAATAACAGAACCAGCCATACTGTAGAACAGCAAATAACAGAACCAGCCATACTGTAGAACAGCAAATAACAGAACCAGCCATACTGTAGAACAGCAAATAACAGAACCAGACATACTGTAGAACAGCAAATAACAGAACCAGTGATACTGTAGAACAGCAAATAACAGGGAAGTGGGCAGTCTGTGTAGGTTATGCACCAAGAGAGGCGAGAAAACTCATTGGTATGTACAGACAGCAGGGCACTATAGCCAATATATTTTCCATGGCAGGTGGTCCGTGTGTTGAAGACCTGGAGGAGTTAGTCATAGTGTGTAAGGGACTAAATGTCTTTTAGATGTGACTCCTGCCTCCAGCACTCTCACAGCTGCATACAGGGGAGGAGAGACAATCCAGCACCAGCACCTTGATACCCAATCTGTTTCTTACTTTCTCTCACTCTTTATCTTTTGTCTTATGCTTTCAATCAAAAATATATAAACACAACATGTAAAGTGTTGGTCCCATGTTTCATGAGCTGAAATAAAAGATCCCAGAAATTTTCCATATGCACAAAATGCTTATTTCTCTCAAATTTTGTACACAAATTTGTTTACATCCCTGTTAGTGAGAATTTCTCCTTTGCCAAGATAATCCATCCACCTGACAGTTGTGGCATATCAAGAAGCTGATTAAACAGCATGATCATTACACAGGTGCACCTTGTGTCTCAAGTTGAGGGAACGTGCAATTGGCATGCTGACTACAGAAATGTCCACCAGAGCTGTTGCCTGGGAATTAAATGTTCATTTCTCTACCATAAGCTGCTTCCAACGTCGTTTTAGAGAATTTGGCAGTACATCCAACCAGCCTCACAAACGCATACCACGTGTAACCATGCCAGCCCAGGACCTCCACCTCTGGCTTCTTCACCTGCGGGATCGTCTGAGAGCAGCCACCCGGACAGCTGATGAAACTGTGGGTTTGCACAACTGAAGAATTTCTGCAGAAACCGTCTCAAGGAAGCTCATCTGCGTGCTCGCCATCCTCACCAGGGTCTTGACCTGACTGCAGTTTGGCGTCGTAGCCGACATCAGTGGGCAAATGCTCACCTTCGATGACCACTGGCACGCTGGAGAAGTGTGCTCTTCATGGATTAATCCCGGTTTCAACTCTGCCAGACAGATGGCAGACAGCGTGTATGGCGTTGTGTGGGCAAGCGGTTTGCTGATGTCAACGTTGTGAACAGAGTGCCCCATGTTGGTGGTGGGGTTATGGTATGGGCAGGCATAAGCTACGGACAACGAACACAATTGCATTTTATCGATGGCAATTTGAGTGCACAGAGATACCGTGACGAGTTCCTGAGGCCCATTGTCATGCTGTTCATCCGCCGCCATCACTTCATGCTTCAGCATGATAATGCACAGCCCCATGTCGCAAGGATCTGTACACAGTTCCTGGAAGCTGAAAATGTCCCAGTTATTCCATGGCCTGCATACTCACCAGATATGTCACCCATTGAGCATGTTTGGTATGCTCTGGATCAACGTGTACAACAGCGTGTTCCAGTTCCAGCCAATATCCAGCAACTTCGCTCAGTCATTGAAGAGGAGTGGGACAACATTCACAGGCCACAATCAACAGTCTGATCAACTCTATGCAATGGAGATGTGTCGCAATGCATGAGGCAAAAGGTGGTCACACCAGATAATGATCCACGCCCCTAGCTTTTTTTAAAAGGTATTTATGACCAACAGATGCATATCTGTGTTCCCAGTCATGTGAAATCCATATATTAAGGCCTAAGGAAATTGATTTCCTTATATGAACTGTAACTCAGCAAAATCTTTGAAGTTGTTGCATGTTGGTTTATATTTTTGTTCAATATATATATTAGCCCAAGGCCATGAGAACCAGAGCACCTTTCTGTTTCTGCAGCAGGTACTGCAATCCGTGTTGGAGGTGTCAGAGCATGCATACACACATTGAAAAAGAGAATTGCTCAGCAATCTGCAATAAGGGGGCTTTAGCAGACAGGAAAAAATAGAAATAACAACAATCACAATGTTGTTATTGTAACCCTGAATATAAACAAGCTTGGTGCCTCTTCCCTGAGCAATAGATATACTGCCAAAGATTGCACATTGGTGGCTATGATCTTGGGAGAGGAAGAAGGGGTGGAGATTGAGTGGGAGGAGAGGGAGGAGGAGCCTCTCCCCTGTGGCCTCTGAACATCCCCTCACACTCAACTCCTCGTTGTACCGCAGCTCACGACATATCCATTTCCCCTCAGATGGTTACATGGATAAACAGACAACAGCATGCAGTGTGGTGATGGGTGGTTGAGACTCACAGCGGCGTGCTGACTCCTGGCTCAGCTCAAGTCTGTAGATTGACAGGCGGTTGGCCCCTCCACACAGGTTGCCCTTCTCGCCCTTACACTCCATGTTGCATTCACTCTCAGAGGCATTGGGGGCCTGGATCTTGTGGCCACAGTAGCACTCCGCCCCAAACTCTAGGCCTGAATACAGGTAGCCCCTGGTGAAAGGGAAACAGAGGGGGTAACGTTAATATCATCAATAATAACAGAGAGGCTCAGGCTTACACAAAAATATTCAGCATTGGTTGCAACTAATGCAGCGAGACTCTCAGGGCTTCTAGTGGTTACTACCTACAGGGCTGGTTCCAGGCATAAGCTATATATATATATATATATATACAGTGGGGAAAAAAAGTATTTAGTCAGCCACCAATTGTGCAAGTTCTCCCACTTAAAAAGATGAGAGAGGCCTGTAATTTTCATCATAGGTACACGTCAACTATGACAGACAAAATGAGAAAGAAAAATCCAGAAAATCACATTGTACGATTTTTAATGAATTTATTTGCAAATTATGCTGGAAAATAAGTATTTGGTCACCTACAAACAAGCAAGATTTCTGGCTCTCACAGACCTGTAACTTCTTCTTTAAGAAGATTTCTGTCCTCCACTCGTTACCTGTATTAATGGCACATGTTTGAACTTGTTATCAGTATAAAAGACACCTGTCCACAACCTCAAACAGTCACACTCCAAACTCCACTATGGCCAAGACCAAAGAGACGTCAAAGGACACCAGAAACACAATTGTAGACCTGCACCAGGCTGGGAAGACTGAATCTGCAATAGGTAAGCAGCTTGGTTTGAAGAAATCAACTGTGGGAGCAATTATTAGGAAATGGAAGACATACAAGACCACTGATAATCTCCCTCGATCTGGGGCTCCACGCAACATCTCACCACGTGGGGTCAAAATCATCACAAGAACGGTGAGCAAAAATCCCAGAACCACATGGGGGGACCTAGTGAATGACCTGCAGAGAGCTGGGACCAAAGTAACAAAGCTTACCATCAGTAACACACTACGCCGCCAGGGAATCAAATTCTGCAGTGCCAGACGTGTCCCCCTGCTTAAGCCAGTACATGTCCAGGCCCGTCTGAAGATTGCTAGAGTGCATTTGGATGATCCAGAAGAGGATTGGGAGAATGTCATATGGTCAGATGAAACCAAAATATAACTTTTTGGTAAAAACTCAACTTGTCGTGTTTGGAGGACAAAGAATGCTGAGTTGCATCCAAAGAACACCATACCTACTGTGAAGCATGGGGGTGGAAACATCATGCTTTGGGGCTGTTTTTCTGCAAAGGGACCAGGACGACTGATCCGTGTAAAGGAAAGAATGAATGGGGCCATGTATCGTGACATTTTGAGTGAAAACCTCCTTCCATCAGCAAGGGCATTAAAGATGAAACATGGCTGGGTATTTCAGCATGACAATGATCCCAAACACACTGCCCGGGCAACGAAGGAGTGGCTTCGTAAGAAGCATTTCAAGGTCCTGGAGTGGCCTAGCCAGTCTCCAGATCTCAACCCCATAGAAAATCTTTGGAGGGAGTTGAAAGTCCGTGTTGCCCAGCGACAGCCCCAAAACATCACTGCTCTAGAGGAGATCTGCATGGAGGAATGCGCCAAAATACCAGCAACAGTGTGTGAAAACCTTGTGAAGACTTACAGAAACATTTGACCTGTGTCATTGCCAACAAAGGGTATATAACAAAGTATTGAGTAACTTTTGTTATTGACCAAAAACTTATTTTCCAGCATAATTTGCAAATAAATTCATTAAAAATCCTACAATGTGATTTTCTGGATTTTTCTTTCTCATTTTGTCTGTCATAGTTGACGTGTACCTATGATGAAAATTACAGGCCTCTCTCATCTTTTTAAGTGGGAGAACTTGCACAATTGGTGGCTGACTAAATACTTTTTTTCCCCACTGTATATATATATATATATATATATATATATATATATATATATACACTACCAGTCAAAAGTTTGGACACACCTACTCATTCAAGGGTTTTTCTTTTTTTTAAACTATTTTCTACATTGTAGAATAATAGTGAAGACATCAAAACTATGAAATAACACGTATGGAATCATGTAGTAACCAAAAAAGTGTTAAACAAATCAATATATATTTTATATTTGACATTCTTCAAAGTAGCCAACCTTTGCCTTGATGACAGCTTTGAAGCCCTATTTGGTAAAAGACCAAGTCTATATTTATGGCAAGAACAGCTCAAATAAGCAAAGAGAAATTAGTAGGTGTGTCCAAACTTTTGACTGGTACTCTCTCTCTCTCTCTCGAGCTCTCTCTCTCAGATCCAGAGTCGCGAGCTCGAGGAGCTCTCATAGAGAGATGACGAGAGAGAGGAGCGAGAGCTCTCGGAGAAGAGAGCCGCGCGAAGAGAGAGCGAGAGCGGCAGCTCGCTCTCTATAGCTCGCTCTCTCTCTCCGTTCTTCTCTCTCTTCTCTCTTCTCTCGCTCTCTCTCTCGCTCTCTCTGTCTCGCTCTCTTTCTCTCTCGCTCTTATATATATATATATATATTATATATATATATATATATATATATATATATATTGGAACTTACTATTGAGAGTAAGAATATAAGAATACACCAGTTGCAATTTCTAAATTTGGTAGTGCATCAGCTGTTTTTCTCTTCTTATGTCAGTCACTGACAGTCACGCAATTAGCCTTGTCAGACACCGACTGGGCATGCAGGTCACGTGCCCAGGGGCCCTGACCTTTTATTTTTATTTATTTTTAATCTTTATTTTAACAGGGAAAAACAGACTGAGACCTGGATCTCTTTTACGGCTGTGCCCTGTGTAAACATGTTGACATGTACAGTTTTAGACATACAGACAAGAACATTTCAAACATACAAAACAAAAAACACAATTCAACAGAAACAATCACAGACAACATCATATTGATCCTCCATAACATTTTTAAAATGGGCAAGGGACACCAGAGTGTCTAACTTAAGTTGGATCTGCAGTTTGTTCCATAAATAAGGTGCAAAGGAACTGAAGGCAGTCCTACCCAACTCTGTGGAGACCACAGAAGTCTCTAATGTAATCCACATCTGTGATCTGGTTTTAAAATTAGTATATCTAGTGGAAATTAATGATGATATATATGGAGGTAGTTTTAAAAGAAGTGCTTTATAAATAAACAAGAGAGCATGTTGCTCTCGCCTCACAGATAGAGAGGCCCAACCCACATGTTGATATAGGAAACAGTGATGAGTTTTGTAACTATCACCTGTGATAAACCTGAGTGCACAATGGTAAATAGCATCCAGTGGTTTTAATGTGTTTGCCGATGCATGCATATAGATAATATCACCATAATCTAAAACGGACATAAAAGTAGCCTGCACAATTTGTTTTCTATTTACGGAGGACAGACAAGCCCTGTTTCTGTAAAGGAACCCTATCTTGAATTTGATCTTTTTTTCCCAATTCAGTAACATGTTTTTTAAAAGAAAGCCTATCATCTAACCATACCCCTAAGTATTTATTTGCAGAGACCTGTTTGATTTGAGTACCATCCAAGCTAGTGATTACAAAAGTGTTTCTAATTGAGAATTTTGTTTTCTTTGCGTTTAAAACAAGTTTAAGCTATAAAAGAGACCGCTGTAGTATCCTAAAATCAGACTCAACTGCATTAAAGCTTGGTCCGCTGTTGGAGCAATAGAGTACATCACTGTGTCATCTGCATATAAATGGAATTTACAATATCTGACATCATCACCAATGTTGTTTATATAAAGTGAGAACAATAGTGGGCCAATTATTGAACCCTGAGGGACCCCTTTAAGTAACTGTAAGGGGTCAGACTTGACCCCGTCGACCATGACGGCCTGAGTTCTATCTTTAAAATAGTCATAAAACCATCGACAGGCATCAGTGCCCAGTCCTATAGATGACAGCTTACTCAAAAGGATAGCATGGTCTACAGTGTCAAAAGCTTTTGACAAATCTACAAACAACGCAGCACAGTGCTTTCCATCATCTAAGGCATTTGCAATATCATTTACAACAAGCATAGTGGCCGATGTGGTACTGTGTTTAGATCTAAAACCAGATTGATTGGGGCTAAAAATACTGTTAACAGAAAGAAAAGATTGTAACTCGATTATGCATGCAACTGCAAGACGCGCATGACCCTCTCTCTCAGCAGTGCTCTATACAGAGTCAGTCCACTAATAGGGTGAATGACTCATAGACATTCAGTTGGGTAACCAGCAGTAACCTCACTCGCCCTCTCCAAGATGAAGAGAGCTCTCTGGGTGGACAAGGTCAGAATCAGAGAGAGAGTGTGTGCATTAATACTGCACCAAGACACCAGAGCTTGTTTTTCGGGTGATGCTGATTATGAGTCCATACACAGTACAGTATTCTGGAAGGCTCTATCCATCAAACACACAAGGCCTGTACACTCCCTGGGGAACAGTAACCTGGCAGTGGCACATGAGGGATGCACACTTGACTCCTGAGATGCCTTCATAGTGCCAATAGATGGCCAGCACAACACAGCCTTTACCCTGAAGAAATCATACAGACTGCCAATCAAGGAAAGCTAGCTAGTCACCATGGTGCACTTCTCTGCTTCATTGATATGTCTGTACAGTGCCTTCAGAAACTATTCACACCCATTGACTTATTCCACATTTTGTTGTGTTACAGCCTGAATTCAAATGGATTAAATATATGTTTTTCTCACCCATCTAAACACAATACCCCATAATGACAAAGTGAAAACATGTTTTTAGAAATGTTTGCTAATTTATTGAAAATTAAATACAGAAATATCTTACTTACATAAGTATTCACACCTCTGAGTCAATACATGTTAGAATCACCTTAGGCAGCGAGTACAGCTGTGAGTATTTCTGGGTAAGTCTCTAAGAGCTTTGCACAGCTTTGAGACATTTATTTCCTTCTTAATGCGTTTGAGCAAATCAGTTGTGTTGTGACAAGATATGGGGGGGTATACAGATGATAGCCCTATTTGGTAAAAGACCAAGTCCATATTATGGCCAGAACATCTCAAATAAGCAAAGAGAAACGACAGTCCATCATTAGTTTAAGACATGAAGATCAGTCAATACGGAACATTACAAGAACTTTGAAAGTTTCTTCAAGTGCAGTCGCAAAAACCATCAAGCGCTATGATACAACTGGCTCTCATGAGGACCGCCACAGGAATGGAAGACCCAGAGTTACCTCTGCTGCAGAGGATAAGTTCATTAGAGTTACCAGCCTTAGAAATTGCAGCCCAAATAAATACTTCACAGAGTTCAAGTAACAGACACATCTCAACATCAACTGTTCAGAGGAGACTGTGTGAATCAGGCCTTCATGGTCGATTTGTTGCAAAGAAACCACTACTAAAGGACACCAATAAGAAGAAGAGACTTGCTTGGGCCAAGAAACACGAGCAATGGACATTAGACGGGTGGAAATTTGTCCTTTGGTCTGGAGTCCAAATTTTAGATTTTTGGTTCCAACCGCTGTGTCTTTGTGAGATGCGGTGTGGGTGAACGGATGATCTCTGCATGTGTATTTCCCACCGTAAAGCATGGAGGAGGAGGTGTTATGGTGTGGGGGTGCTTTGCTGGTGACACTGTCTGTGATTTATTTAGAATTCAAGGCACACTTAACCAGCATGGCTACCACAGCATTCTGCAGCGATACGCCATCCCATCTGGTTTCGGCTTAGTGGGACTGTCATTTGGTTTTCAATAGGACAATGACCCAACACACCTCCAGGCTGTGTAAGGGCTATTTGACCAAGAAGGAGAGTGATGGAGTGCTCCATCAGATGACCTGGCTTCCACAATACCCCGACCTCAACCCAATTGAGATGGTTTGGGATGAGTCGGACGGCAGAGTGAAGGAAAAGCAGCCAACAAGTGCTCAGCATATGTGGGAACTCCTTCAACACTGTTGGAAAAGCATTCCAGGTGAAGCTGGTTGAGAGAATGCCAAGAGTGTGCAAAGCTGTCATCAAGGCAAAGGGTGGGTATTTGAAGAATCTCAAATATAAAATATATTTTGATTTGTTTAACACTTTTTTGGTTACTACATGATTCCATATGTGTTATTTCATAGTTTTGATGTCTTCACTATTATTCTACAATGTAGAAAATAGTAAAAAATAAAGAAAACCCTTGAATGAGTAGGTGTGTCCTAACTTTTGACTGGTACTGTATATATATATATATAATCTCCTCCACTCTTTCTCTCCTCTCCTGTGAGTCAGCGGTGGGTGTTGGGCTGAGCCGTTGGGCTGAGACGTCCATAGGGAGCGAGAGGGAGAGGGGGAGGCAAGGCGAAGCGGGAGAAAGAGATGATATGAAGAAAATGATATAAGTAGGAAAGAGGCAGGCAAAGAGAGAGAGAAAGAGAGAGAGAGAGAGAGAGAGAGAGAGAGACAGAGAGAGAGAGACAGAGAGACCGAGAGAAAGCGAAAGAGAGACAGTAAGAGAGAAAGAGAGAGTGAAAGAGACCGAAAGAGAGAGAGAAAGAGAGCGAGCGAAAGAGAGAGAAAGAGAGCCAGAAAGAAAGAGAACGAGAGAGAGAAAGAGATAGAGAGAAATAATGTGGAAAAGGTATGGACAGTACAGTTATCGAGAGCTATGGAGCTAATGTGAAGGAGAAAAGAGAGAGAGGGAGAGGGTGTGAGACTATGTATGACAGCTGGCACAAGGCCCTACATTCCTTAGACATGCAGGACTAATCTCATCCTGCCAGACATGTTAATCTACACTCAGGCATACAACCTTTACTCCTCACTCCCATCCTGTGTTTGTTAGTTTTTATATTCCCAGGCCTACCTTTCAGCACAGTTGTCCTGGCAACGGAAGACCGTCATTTTCTTGTAGTCAAAAAAGGACACTCCCCTGAGTGCTCTTTTCGCAGTGTCGTCGATATAGCAGCCGATGTAATTCGCTTTAAGAGAGAAGAACAAAACATTTCTCATAACAAATCAAAAATGCACAATTCAAGCAGAGCAATATTATGGGAGACAAGGGAGAGAGGCAATAATACAGTTTTGGGTAGAACACGAAGAAAAATTGGCGTTTAACAAGTTATTTCCAATGGTAATTGCTTATTAATACAGTCATGGTAAATTATAGATTTAACAGAAAAAAATATTGTAGCAAAAATTCTGTAGAGACATTCTGTATATTAGTAAAATAACTTTAAAGTCAAATCCAACATGATCATCAATCTGCTCCATACAGTGAAGACATATTGAGGGCAACGCTGCTGCTCAAGGAATCAACACCAGACGGGCATGTTTATTTAATAATAAAGACACACAACCCCTTCTAGTGGCCTGTTACTGCAACGGCACTCAATACACTTCCTGACTTATTCAAAGTGAGTAGGTAGGGACCGAGGTAGGGAGGGGGGAGGGAGGAAAGGCTGGTAATGTCATTCTGCAGTGGGACTGGCTGATCCTTCCACCCTTACTTCCTGCTCTGTCTGTGAGGTAGCATGATGGATAGACCAATCCCAAACCTACACCAGCTGTCCCCTGCAATCTCCAAATGGGGGAGGGGGGAGATGGTTGCACAATGCACATTCTAAACCACCACATTAAACCACCACATCACATTACATTACCTCTAAATACACCTCCGCTGTCTTCAACCAGGATCTCAGCGATCACTGCCTTATTGCCTGCGTCCGTAACGGGTCCGTGGTCAAACGACCACCCCTCATCACTGTCAAACGCTCCCTAAAACACTTTAGCGAGCAGGCCTTCCTAATTGACCTGGCCCAGGTATCCTGGATGGATATAGATCTCATTCCGTCAGTAGAGGATGCCTGGTTGTTCTTTAAAAGTAATTTCCTCTCAATCTTAAATAAACATGCCCCATTCAAAAAATACAGAACTAAGAACAGATATAGCCCCTGGTTCTCCTCAGACTTGACTGCCCTTGACCAGCACAAAAACATCCTGTGGCGTATTGCATTAGCATCAAATAGCCCCCGCGATATGCAACTTTTCAGGGAAGTTAGGAACCTGTATACACAAGCAGTCAGGAAAGCAAAGGCTAACTTTTTCAAACAGAAATGTGCATCCTGTAGCACTAACTCCAAAACGTTTTGGGACACTGTAAAGTCCATGGAGAATAAGAGCACTTCCTCCCAGCTGCCCACTGCACTGAGGCTAGGAAACACTATCACCACCGATAAATCTACAATAATCGAGAATTTCAACAAGCATTTTGCCATGCTTTCCACCTGGCTACCACTACCCCGGCCACCAACTCTGTACCCTCCGCTGCAACTTGCCCATGCCCCCCCCCCCCCCCCCCCCCCCCCCCCCCCCCCGCTTCTCCTTCACACAAATGTAGACAGCTGATGTTCTGAAAGAGCTGCAAAATCTGGACCCCTACAAATCAGCTGGGCTAGACAATCTGGACCCTTTCTTTCTAAAACTAGCCGCCAAAATTGTCGCAACCCCTATTACTAGCCTGTTCAACCTCTCTTTCATAACGTCTGAGATCCCCAGAGATTGGAAAGCTGCCGCGGTCATCCCCCTCTTCAAAGGGGGTGACACTCTAGATCCAAACTGTTACAGACCTATATCCATCCTGCCCTGCCTTTCGAAAGTATTTGAAAGCCAAGTTAACAAACAGATCACCGACCATTTCGAATCCCACCGTACCTTCTCCGCTATGCAATCCGGTTTCCGAGCTGGTCATGGGTGCACTTCAGCCACGCTCAAGGTCCTAAACGATATTATAACCGCGATCGATAATAGACAGTACTGTGCAGCCGTCTTCATCGACCTGGCCAAGGCTTTCGACTCTGTCAACCACCGCATTCTTATTGGCAGACTAAATAGCCTTGGTTTCTCAAATTACTGCCTCGCCTGGTTCACCAACTACTTCTCAGATAGAGTTCAATGTGTCAAATCGGAGGGCCTGTTGTCTGGACCTATGGCAGTCTCTATGGGGGTGCCACAGGGTTCAATTCTTGGGCCGACTATTTTCTCTGTGTATATCAATGATGTCGCTCTTGCTGCTGGTGACTCTCAGATCCACCTCTACGCAGACGACACCATTTTGTATACATCTGGCCCTTCATTGGACACTGTGTTAACAAACCTCCAAACGAGCTTCAATGCCATACAACACTCCTTCAGTAGCCTCCAACTGCTCTTAAACACTAGTAAAACTAAATGCATGCTCTTCAATCGAACGCTGCTGGCACCCGCCCACCCGACTAGAATCACTACTCTCGACGGGTCTGACCTAGAGTATGTGGACAACTACAAATACCTAGGTGTCTGGTTAGACTGTAAACTCTCCTTCCAGACTCACATTAAGAATCTCCAATCCAAAGTTAAATCTAGAATCAGCTTCCTATTTCGCAACAAAGCCTCCTTCACTCATGCTGCCAAACATGCCCTCGTAAAACTGACTATCCTACCGATCCTTGACTTCGGCGATGTCATTTACAAAATAGCCTCCAACACTCTACTCAGCAAATTGGATGTAGTCTATCACAGTGCCATCCGTTTTGTCTCCAAAGCCCCATACACTACCCACCACTGTGACCTGTACGCTCTTGTTGGCTGGTCCTCACTACATGTTCGTCGTCAAACCCACTGGCTCCAGGCCATCTATAAATCACTGCTAGGCAAATCCCCGCCTTATCTTAGCTCATTGGTCACCATAGCAGCACCCACCCGTAGTCTGCGCTCCAGCAGGTATATCTCACTGGTCATCCCCAAAGCCAACACCTCCTTTGGCCGCCATTCCTTCCAGTTCTCTGCTGCCAATGACTGGAACGAATTGCAAAAATCTCTGAAGCTGGAGACTTATCTCCCTCACTAACTTTAAGCATCAGTTGTCAGAGCACCTTACCGATCACTGCACCTGTACACAGCCCATCTGAAATTAGCACACCCAACTACCTCATCCCTATATTGTTATTTATTTTGCTCTTTTGCACCCCAGTATCTCTATTTGCACATAATCTCTTGCACATCTAGCATTCCAGTGTTAATAGTAATTGTAATTATTTTGCACTATAGCCTATTTATTGCCTTACCTCCATAACTTGCTACATTTGCACACACTGTATATATATATTTTCTGTTGTATTTTTTGACTTTATGTTTTTTTACCCCATATGTAACTCTGTGTTGTTGTTTTTATCGCACTGCTTTGCTTTATCTTGGCCAGGTCGCAGTTGTAAATGAGAACTTGTTCTCAACTGGCTTACCTGGTTAAATAAAGGTGAAATAAAAATAAAATAAAATGATTGTAATAATCTAAAAGGCGGGTTGAGCGGCAGCATGTGGTGCTCTGTAGGTCCTGGGCAGTAATCTTCCTCCCAGACATAGTAGCGGAGCGGACTGAGCATGATCACTAATCTGCTTTAGGACAAAGGGAAGCAGTGATTTAGCTAAACTGAACTGCACTTCAATGGGGCTGACCATCCGCCTTCCTTTTTTGTGCTGAGTTTATGAAATGAAATAATCAGATCAGAAGCCAGTCATTCAGGGAAGCAGAGATACACTCCCCGCGGCTCTATATTCCAGCATTTTGGATTTGAGATTCAATGTTTCATATGATGCAACAGTACAGAATGTCACCTTTTATTTGAGAGTATTTTCATACATATCTGTTTTACCGTTTAGAAATTAAAGCACTTTATGTATCTAGTCCCTCCATTTGAAGGTGTCATAAGTATTTGGACAAATTCACTTATAGACTATTTGCATTGACCCCCCCACCTTTGTTTTTACACTGCTGCTACTCGCTGTTTATTATCAATGCAGTCACTTTACCCCTACCTACATGTACAAACTACCTCGACTAATGTTACTTTAGTTTGTTTAGTAAATATTTTCTTAACTCTATTTTATTAAAACAGCATTGTTGGTTAAGGGCTTGTAAGTAAGCATTTCACGGTAAGGTCTACACCTGTTGTATTCGGTGCATGTGACAAATACAATTTTATTGATTGATCGCTCTACATTAATATAGAAATGTTCAGAAAAATATTCGATTTTTATTTACTGTAATGTCGAAGGAGTCAGGCGCAGGAGGGTACATCACAGAATAACAGGCTTTATTCCGCAATTACAGAGTTATGCAGAAATGCGTAAAAACACTCTAGTGCGCAAAACAGGCACACTGGAAAATATCCCGGCGATACAAAATACACGGCGCTCCACCGATCTTCACTATCCTCCACAATAAACAATCACACACAAAGACAAGGGGGCAGAGGGAACACTTATACAGGTACTGATGAGGGGATATGAACCAGGTGTGTGTAATAAACACAAAACCAATGGAATGATGAGATGTGGAGCGGCAGTGGCTAGAAGGCCGGTGACCACAAACGCCGAAGCCTGCCTGAACAAGGAGAGGTGGCAGCTTCGGAGGAAGTCGTGACATTTACAATAGAAGTGACTCCAAAATGACACAATACAATATTTACCATTAATTTCTATTGGGCACAACATAATTAAAAGCACAACCAAAACAAACTGCAAATGCATCCATCAACTTTGTATAGTCACAAGCTTGATGTAGGGACCAAATACTCAACTTCTGACTACTTTAATACACTATAAGTGAATTTGTCCAAATACTTATGACACCTTCAAATGGGGGAACTACATACATAAAGTGCTTTCATTTCTAAACGGTAAAACAAATATGTATGAAAATACCCTCTAAAAGGTGACAGTCTGTATTGTCGCCTCATATGAAACATGTATTTTTATCCAAATTGCTGGAGTATAGAGCCAAATTAGTTTTAGCTTCACTGTCCAAATACTGTAAATACGTAGGGGAGTATATGCAGGTTGTGATGTAAGCACAGTCATGTGGCAGGAAGACAACAGACACAAATATGAACGCTATACTGTATGAACGAATAATGTGTATGCAGATGTATGGCAGGAGTGTAGGGCAATCATTCAGCCACCTTATAGTTGTATCAGAAGATCTGGTGCTGACAAGTGATGGATAGGGGTTCCATTTCAATCAGCTGTGTTTTTTCCTCTCGATTTCACAAACAAAATCACAGACATTTTAGAAACAATCTGCCTCTCTGAGTTTGAAGCCACAGTATGAGCTTACTGTCTCCACTCTCCTATCATGTTATTATCTGATCATATAATCTTGTTATATGTACAGTAATGCTCTGGCCTCATGAGGGATGTCAACACATAACATTCATCTGTACTGGATAACAACAATACACTTGCTGGATTATTCCTTAAAATAGGGTAGATGAGGTGGTTGGAGACATGGGGACCACAGTATTTGCGTAATGTTTCTTTCAGACAGTGTGTGTGTGTTTTCTCTGTGTGTGTGTGTGTGTGTGCGCGTGCGTGTGTGCTCGTGCATGCATGTGTGTACGGTGGGGAGCAGGTTGCGTGTGGCTGCTCTTGAAGAGAACATGACAAGGGCCTGGCGCTGTGGGACAGAGGAGTCATGGATGAAGGGGAAAGCACTAATTACGGCGGCAGGTAGCCTAGCTGTTAGAGGGTTGTGCCAGTAATAGAAAGGCCGCTAGTTCTAATCCCAGAGACACTGTGAAAAATGTGTCGATGTGCCCTTGAGCAAGTCATTTAACTCTAATTGCTCCAGCGTCGCCGTTGATAATGGCTGAGCCTGTTTGTGACCCCACTCTCCGAAGGTGTCTCAGGGGAGTTGTAATATGTAAAAAAAGTGACATTATGTACATGAGTGAAATAGGACAAACATAAGCACACACCAAATTATTATTATTATTATTATAATACATACTATGTAGAGATCTTTTAATCCCCAGCTATAATACATGTACTATGTAAAGCATGTTTGTGCTTCTCTCAATCCGAATGCCACAAAAAGAATCACTGTGCAAATCAATTCCAATCAGGAAGTGCTTGTGCTTGTAATACATATGTCTCTAATGCATAGGCTTACTATATGTAGCTAGTTATCCTCGTACTATGAAGGATAATATTATATTTCTATGATTATACAGTAAACTACTGCCCTCTGGTATAAATTCTACTATATACTTTATCGTCCAGTATGGGAAGTGTAAAGATCAATGCGGAGGATAACATGATTAGATGTGAGGGAATCAGGGCACGGTTCTGCGCTGTGCTGGGCTCTCCTGGCAGTACCAGCTGCTCACAGCTGCCAGCCATGCGGAGTCCCAGGCTAAATTCATCTCCATCACTTTACTGGAGCTCAAGCCAGCTCTTTTTGGGAAAGGTTAATTGCCATGGACATGCTACATGTGGCCCATGAAAACGAGCGGTGCAGGATTTTACCAAAGATCTATGCTTAGAAACCTTCTGTTGGGAGTTGGAGCCCTTCAAACATCAGGCTGGATTAGCCTAATGGGCAGGTATGGAGACAATCCTCAAATTAGCTTTTTTCTATTTTTTTCCCAGAGATTTTGTGGTTTGGTTCCAAGTCACTTGTCTGTGGCATCTGGGAATCTAGTAAATATTTACAATGTCACACACGGAGTTGCTAGGGATAGCTCTATGATATGGGTAAACGTACATAATAAAATATGGGGAAAACCTGCTATCACTGTGAGACGAATCAGTACGTTCTTAATATCCCCCCGCATAATCATGCTTAATGGCCTGCTGGTGGGTATTGACTGACTGTGGCTAAGGAGGACCAGGGTGGGTGGGACCATTTAACTAACTAAGTTCTAGATCTCCCTGGGAGAGAGAGAGGAGACACTCTGTTCACAAAGGCTCTTCATCTCTCTGGAGAGGCATCACCTGAAGTGCCAATTACCTCTTAAATATATAGTCACAATATCCAGGCACATTAACCTTGAGCAACACTGAGTGTGAATGTGTATGTGCCTATGTGTCTGTGTGTATAGTGGAATATCTTTCATAATGCGAATACTCAAGGTGAATTTAGGTATGATAGTCACTAAAACTGACAGTTTATTTCTTCAGGCTGTTTATTTCTTCAGTCGGTCTATAAACCTGTTATTTTTTATATATAAAAAAAAAAACTGTAGTCAGAGGTGTTTTTATGAGATACTGATTGTTATGTATAAAATCAAGTTAAGAGTACTAACAGCACAAACCATGTAGGTACTGTCCAGCTAGTACATCTCGACATAAACTGTTAACTCACCCCGTCCGTCGTCAAGATCTTTGGCGTTGCGTCCTTTGAGGGCGCGGTTCCAGCTGCTGGTGTAGTCTCCTCCCCGGGCCCTCCAGTCATGGCTGTCCTTCCCAGCAGCTCCTTTCATCCAGGGAGGGCTGTACCTCCGCGGGGTGGGTCTGCGGTTCTCCTTGAACACCCTCCCCATCATCCCTACCCGCCGGCCGTCTGAGGAGGCTGCCCTGTTCCCCATCTCAGATGCCACCAGGGGGTCCCGTCCCCCATTGGCCCCCGTGGAGCTGTCCCCTACGAAGCCAGAGTGCAGGAACACTAGGCTCCCGGCTGTCAGGTAGAGGAGGATGAAGGAGAAGAAGCGCACAGGTTTCCTCCGGAAGTAGCGCTGGATCTTCAGCAAAGGCCTAGCCATGCTGGCTCCCCCTGCCGCTCCGTCACAACGTCCCAGAGAGACAAAACCATAAAGCAGCAGGACAACACCCCCTAAAGCTACTGTGAGGTCCAATCACACAGGAGAGAGTCACAATAAAAAATCTCAATCCAATTCTGGGAGGGGAAAAATAATTACCTATCAGGCTAAAACATACAACAAAAACATACAACAAAGGTGTGTTGTGCTCCTGAGTGTGTGTATGGGATCTCTGCATGAGGTCTGTCCACACTCCCCGTGGAGGTGTGTGTGGTGCTGGAGAGTATGTCTCCAGTGTGTGTCTCTCTACGTTCCCACTGAGAGTACATCAGGAGGACAGAGAGCTGACGGTGGGCCCATGGCAGAAAAGGTGAGCGGCTCAGACTGAAAGACGATCACCGAAGTAGCATTACTTCCCTCCTGCTATCGACCTCCGGCTGGCGCCTCCCCGGCTCCACAGAGGCCCTTTCCCCCGTTGCGCAGATGGAAGAGGCTTTAATTCACTCTCTGAGCTGAGACCCTTGTGCCTTTGTGTGTCCAGCCATTCACCGTGACGGTCTGTGAAGGAGGTTGAGGCTCGCCATCTGAAAGTATAATAAGAAGCATTAATCCTCTCTGTGGGCTCCTACCACACACACCACCTCCCCACCTCTTCAGCATCACTCAACCGTCATGCACCAGAAGGTAAAGAAATAAACAAACAAAATAGCTTAACACAATCAAAGCAGAAGCAGTGGCAAACAACACATTAGGGTGGATGAGAATCCTTGGGCTGTGGTTGTTGTTGTCTTCAGTTCATAAACCCAATGTGGGTGGTCCTCTCTGTTCCAACCAGCTCTGAGCTCTACAGGCTTCTTTATCTCTGCTAAATGAAACTGGAATGGGAACATTGGATGGGGAGGGGAAACAGAGGAGTTCTACCCTGTGGCATCTCCACTGATTCTATTTCTGTTAATCAAGGTGTCTCAGTAGGTAATTACAAATGTCCAACAATAGAGTCTAGCAGTCTAGTTAACATCCTCTTCATCATGGATGGTATGAGTTGCTGAATTGGAGAACATATTTTATTGTCATTCTTCTCTCTTTCTCAGATCAGGATCTGGCTACATTCTTTATCTTCAGTGCATTACACATGAAGTTAATGTTTCCTCTGGGATTCAATTTGTAATAAAAACAATTATGACATCTCAATCTAATTCAACAACTCGATCACGCAAGGGTGATTTGTTTGCAGCAACTGTAAGAATTTGCCATCATTCTTAAATTAAAATCACTTGGAGCTGATTTCCTGGTGTGTTTAGTGTATTATGTCCAATAAAAAACAATTTTTAAAATGTATTTATTAAAAACAATTCCTGAAAACTTGGGGGGCCAAATAAAACCAAGCGCGGGCCAAATTCAGCCCACGGGCCGCCAGTTGGGGAACCCTGCTGTAGGGGCTGAGTGCCCACTCCCCAGGTCCTCTCTATCCCTGTGAAAGGCCTCTCTGTTCTGTTCTGTCCAGGGCCACAGCGGCACTTGGCTGGGAGGGGATTCACACTGAGGTGGTAACGGAACACCATCCAGAGGCCCATGGAATTTTCCAGAATCCCCATGGCGACACTCGCCCCTGTGCCTTGCTGTTTGGTTCAGGACAAGTCAACAAAGCACCTGTGTCACCTGAAACCCCCAGCAACCCAGAACAACCCCCTCTCCCTGTCTGCATTACCCCCCTGGTGGTCTGTGTACGATCCAGGACCATCCTGGGGAGTGGGTCACATCCAGGTGTGGACAGAAACCACAAGATTAATACCAGGAATGTGTCCAAAATGGCACCCTATTACCTTTTTAGCACTATAGAGAATAGGGTGCTATTTGGGACGCACTCCAGGCACCTCTGGGTTATTATGAGTGGGACTCTTCTGAGCTCTTTATTTCTGTAAGCTGATGAGGACTGAGAGGAACCAGGAACAGTCAATATGTTAGTTTGTTGACTTTGACTTTATTTAGCTTAATGCTATTGATCAATTACTCAGCTAATATGCTCTGGTATCAAGATAGATCATGAATCAGAGGTGTGTGAAGCTAATGTAATCTGTCAGCTCAGGTCAAATTAAGTTTAG